CGGCGGCGGCCACTACGCAGCGCATCGACTAACTACTCGACGAGAGACACTGAACACAATTTTATGCTTCTCATAAAAACTTTTTTTCAGAGCTACTTAGTTTTAGTATTAGAAATCATCCTTTTTTATAAAATTTGTCATAGTTCTTTTCAGAACTATCTCTTTGAAAATTAAAAATGGTAAAGGCACGCCTGTTATGCTTTTTAGAAATTTAAGCCTTCCCAATAAGTGTAATGGTACAAGACTATTCGAATTTCGATCACAGAATTAAGAAATAATGTTACATCGTGTGCAACTACCATTACGGGTCCCGCGGATCCCGACGATACCAACTGCTTTGGCCATATGTTTTACCACGGGCATTGTACGTTGCACTTTCTTAAATAGGATTTTCTATACCCCGGCCAACGTAGTGTGATAAGCATAATTTTCTTTTCTAATTTAGTGATTCTTGGTCGCTTCAATTAAATATCTGTACCTATCTATGTGTACCCTTATTACCTATTTAATAAGTTACCCTTAATGATTTGAAAATTGAAAAAAAAAACCATGTAGGACGATGCGACAGAGCCGACGGACGTAAGCTGGGCTCAATGCTAGGGGCGGCGCCTTTTTCGGCGGCTTTGTTTATATTTTCATTAAACCCAGTTTTAATATTTTAATACAAATATGTAGAGTAACTACGCAGTTAGAAGCGGTGAGCGGGGCGCAGACAAAAGCTAGATCGTATACATGATCAAAATCTAACAACCTCTCTTATAAATATGAAAGCTGATTACACAAGAAGTTAACGTCGAATTGAGTACGTATCTTTTTATCGATTTTTAAAGGATGGGTAAAACGGGTAATTGTAATATTTATGCTATTTTAGCTGCAAAGTTTATCCACCGCCGGGCTTACAATTATGCAATAATTATTTAATTAAATTTACTATCAAGCTAGAACACTTGATCTACCTGTCTGTAAAACAAATGTATGATACTCTACTGAGTCGTTAACATATAAAAATTGCGCGGACAACTATTTAATAGTAAATCTCAATAAATGAACACTAAGCTCTGTTTAAACATGTTTGAAGTGCGAAAAGTACTTTTAAAAGAGTGCGATGCGGCAAATTAAATTTCTAACCAAATACCTGTTGCACTTGAAGCTCCGCCGATTTCGAGTCTCACGTGAAACTACCGCGCGTGCATTAAGTGCAGCCGCATCGAAGCCGACTGAGCTGCCCTTGACTGCGTGGGCCAGGCTGCTGAAGGCCAATGGCAAACGGGAACGCAAGCTATACGTCACTCGCTCTCCCAGGATAAATTTCATTTCTAATTCATCCAACAACTATAGAACTTCGCAAAATACAGCAACAACAAAACTCCACTTTCGCAGTCGCCTGAAAAAAGAGTAACTTGCCGTGCCCACAGCGTTTCCGTTTCAAATCACATTACTTGCAGAAGCTTTTTTATTTTTTATTGCGACCGATAGGATGCGTCCCCTCTGGCTAAAAGCTAACACGACGTTATTGAATATTACCTCATTTCGGTTTATTCTGAGTGCTCAAATGTAATAAAATTGAGGAGATACAAGTGTTAGGGAAGAGTTGGAAACACCGAGCTAATAAGTTCGTGGACGAGTGGAAACGTGGAAGAGTGATATTTCTGTCTGTTTCCTGTCTTCAATAAAAAAAACTGTTCAAAATAAAAGAAACAAAATTGAGTCATCAGTAGAACAAACCGTAAAACAAAAAATACATAATTACAATACAGTATTGCCGCACTGGTGTGATAATATCGCGCCAAAGGTTGACAATATAATATTTACTTAACACAACAATTGAACATGGAACGCAACGAATGAATGATGCATTCGTTGCGTTCCATGTTCAATCTTTTTCGCATTTCACATTACTATCTCCATTCTCATGCTCATATTAAAAACTTTTGAGAGACTAATTAATTTTGCTTTTTCCTTTCATTGTTCGCTGCGGCGTGTTTTCTTTTGCTAACTTATTTTATGTGTTTCGTTCCTTTACCTGGTGTTGATGTGAGATATTAGGGATCAAGGGAAAATGTTGTAGTACAGAAATATAACGAATTTAATTGCATTGAAACGCAAGTTATCATTTCTTGTACAGTATATTTATATACAAACTAGCTATTCGCGCAACTTCGTCTTAACTTAAAATGTATTGTGTTAAAATAATAACTATGCAACGAATTACTTAAATAATTATTTTTTTTACTTAATATATTACTTTCTTTTTTTAATTTAAATAACGCAGCAAGTCCTGTAATAAGATGAAAAACAGAATGCTATTTTATGTGGTTTACTGAGTATTATAAATGATAAAGAAATCATATATAATGGAGCTAGAACGTAATTAACGTATAAAATAAAATTTACAATTTCACAACCGTTACGGATACCGTTAGATTGATTTTAAAAACGACTAATTGAAAACTATTATGGGCACAGGGCTAAGCAACATGTTATGTAAAAATAGTTTGGATAAATTTACAAGCTTATATTATATTATTAGTTCGTGGTGATTTGACTAACTTCGAAGATTAAAGGCGAGACAGGAAAATCAAAATACCGTCAAAATGTCTCGTTTTACGGAAGTTTGCTCTTATAAAAAACGAAGACAGTAAAACATGTAGGTACTTATTTGATTATTTTAAAATATTGAGCATTTCCTTTTCACACTGTCAATATTTTCAAGAGATTTTAATTTGCCGAGTCCATTGAATTGATTACCCGATGGAAAGTACATTTGTAAATTCTAAACATAAAAAAACGTTTGCAAATTCAAAATGCTTTAACGTTAATGGACAAGTTCTGATGTTTTAAAATAGAAGGCGATTTTTTTTAATTATAGCAATAATATTATGCAAAAATATTTAGCAGAAACATGCGTTCCAATACAATAGCATGGAGCTTTCAGATCGATCGTCACGTATCAAACTCAGAGTGAGGAGAGGGAGGATGGGGGGCGGGGGCAGGGCAGGATTTTCCATGAAGCGTTTGGGCGGAGCTAAATGTGCCTCGGCGCTCGGCGCAATCGCGCAGATCGAATTTTCAAAGCTGTTTTTCCAGGTATATCTTTGCAATAATCCGTTACGTTATGATACCACCAAAATTTCGCGCCGTCACCGCTCAGACCGCTGCAGCTGGCGCTGGGACGGCGCCGTAGTAAGAGATGTAGGCTTCACGAGGGCAGCAACTGCTTAAGCTAGGGGGTATTTCCCACTCTAAATTTAGAAAGCATTTAAAACATTCTTCTGGACGAGTCTCTAGGCCAAATATACCTTTACATTAAATTTAGGGCCATAATATTGTCACCTTGAAATTACAGTGCACACGAAATAAACAAACAATTAATTCTAAAAAATTACATACCGGTAGATACCGTGGCTAATATCGATATCGAAGATTTAAAACATACCAAACGTAAAAAATTGCTTTTAAGGAATTTATATACTTAATATTTAAATTTCTTTGTAAATTAACTAATTTATTTATTGGTCTTCCCGTTAAAATACATTCTTTCATTTATAATAGATACTAATAATTATAATAATAAAACACTTTATTGCACAAACAAATTAAATACAAATATAGTTAAACCAAATTAATTATTTACATAAAAGAGTTAGTGCAGAGGCGGCCTTATCGCTTATGACAAATAACGAAATAATAATAAATGAGTATACTTTTAATAAAATATTTTTTGACCTTGAAGAATTTAAGACTTTGTGAAAGCCTAATCGCGGGTGGCAGCTTATTTATTAGGCGGACAGCCTGTAGGTACAGAAAAAGAAGAGTCATTGCATTTAGATGAATAGGTAGGCATAGGAAGGAGACGGTTGTATGAGGAACAACGGTCAATTCCATTGGAAGAACCCATTAATATAAACCATTGTTTAACATAGGTAGGAGTGCGTGGATCCAAGAGAATAAAGAAAAGAAGACAGAGGATGTGAGTGTTTCATCGTAGTCTAATAGTGCTAAACGTGGTCGTATTTTCGGAGACCATAAATAAATCCAATTGAGAAATGTTGAAGCCTCTCCAACTTAACTATTTGTTCCTCAGTTAGATCTAAATACAAAACATTAGCATAGTTGCAAGCAATAATTTTAGTAGGAATTGGCAAGAAGTTTTGTAGATGGCGCAGCATATTTGCAACGCCGAACACTTTTCCACTAACTTTGTTTATCTGATCATTCCATGATAGAGTGGCCCGAAGAGTGGTGCAAATCCCGAGATAGGCACCATGTGTGCTTATAAGAGGTAAATTGTTCCAACATACTTTCGATAATTGATGGGGACTTCCAATAATAATTGCCTTCGTTTTGATCGGATTTAGTAAAAGGTCATGTGAATTTGCTTAATCTATTACTTGAATATCGGTGTTAATTAATTTGATCCCATCTAAGTTATTTTCTAAAGAACAGAGAGTGTAGATTTGGAGATCGTCGGAAGAGATTGAATTTATAGAGATAGAAAAGAGGAGAGGAGATCATATACCACCCTGGGGTACAACATAACCAAGAGTGCTCCACGATGACCTACGCGAATGCACTGCTGGCGGCCCCTTAGATAATAACCAAGATCACGAAAATCTTTAGTAATTCTAATAAGGAACCCCAAAATTGTGATGCTTTATTATAATACATTCATATAATTATTAAAAGTAGCTAATTAACGCATTTTAGTTCTCGAATGGAATTAAGAAGTATTTAGTAATCAATTTTTTTACTGGCATATCTTATAAATAATTAAAATTACTTTTTCTTCATTAATTGCTATGCCGTTATAATGTCGCCTCTCAACAAGTGAGTTTAAGTCGGATTGCAGCTTATGATAATGCTCTCTGCATCAGCGTATAGTGCATTTTTTCTTACTTGGCATTTTTGCTAAACAAACACACAATTTACATGAAAACGTGATTTTCTCGCAAGGTTTACATTAAATACCGTTTATAGTTTACGCGAATAGTACACATTTAAATAAAACACTTTAACGGTTAAAAACGCGATATATTTGTAAAACTAGTAGTAATAATAGTAGAGTTTAACTAATATATCGCGTTTTTAACCGTAAAGTTATTTAAAAATTGTATATTGATTGCTAAATTAGTGGACTTAGAGCGCCCAGGCATAAATACATGTTGGTTAATTGTGATGAGTTGCTTCTGTTGGCATACGAGCATAATGAATTCTAATATTAGTGAAAATGTTAATAAAACTGAAATAGGCCTATGACTAAAAAACCTAAGTTTATAAGACTAAAAAACACTAGAACTACTGAAGAAATTTTCCAAGGCAAAAGATACTATAAATACTGGTTGAACGTCCTCGAACTCACCTCTTTTGTCAACCAATTTTTGCTATTATATGTTGGGTATGAACTTTTGTCACTGCGTTCATTTGTAACATCTAGACGACGCGACGGCTTACAGGGAGTGGTTACACATCACCACCCCAGCCAACTCAGTTCTGTGAGTATCTTTGTTTCAGAGAGCCCGCCTTCTCTGTGATGCTGCACACTTAAATGAGGAGTTACAAGCATCCCAGCACCCAAGTAATAGGAACCAGCCGCCGACCGTCCAACGTCAGCCCGCCTACCATATGTGAAGGGAGTTACAGATAAAATTAGCAGCGTCCTGAAACGAGCTTCTATTGACACAGTTTTAAAACCGCCCAAGAAGATTCAGAAAAGTCCTAAAACCTACCAAAAATCTTCGTCTACAAGATGCAGGCATTTACAGACTGGATTGTGATTGTGGCCTATCCTGTATCGGTCAAACAAAGCGTAGTGTCTCGAGAACAGAATTAAGGAACACATCGCGGATATAAAACATAAACGTCTCCAAATCTGCGGTATGCCAACACTCATCTGAAGGGCCCAATCACTACATTCGATTTGACCAGCCAAAAATCCTTGGAAATTAGAGTCGATTTTTTCCAAGACTAGTACGCGAAACAATTGAAATTAAAAAAAAAAAACAGAAATTTCAATAGAGAGGACGGCCTATAATTATCAAACACCTAGCATCGCATATTATAACTCTGGACGTCAAAAAAGCATACCGACAAAAACGAAGACACCATGAGTCAACTCTGAAAGGTCCCGGCCAGTTTCGCCAAGTACTAACTTCGACTGAACAGATAGTGCTGCTACGCTAGTTCTTACTTTGGCGTCAGAGACATCCTCCATCTTTAGTCTCTCCACCGCTGCTGCAAAGCACCGAAATTTATTTAAATTTCTATTTATTCTGTCTTGTAAAATAAATGGTTTGAGTTTGAGGTTGAAATGCCGGGTCGTAAATAATTTTCAAATAAGTTTAACTAATTAGTTAGACAAATAGAAATAAATAAGCCAAGTTGATATAATTCTATAGACACAAATAATAATTACACATTCCTATACCATTTGCAAACTTAGTAGATAAATCATTTTTAAATAAAACACTTTAACGGTTTAAAACGCGATATATTAGTTAAACTTATTTGAAAATGATTTTTTAACTTCGGCCCGACGTTTCGGATGCTTTGCAGCAGCCGTGGTCACGGGGAGACTGCTGCAAAGCATCCGAAACGTCGGGCCGAAGTTAAAAATCATTTTCAAATAAGTTTAACTAATATATCGCGTTTTAAACCGTTAAAGTGTTTTATTTAAATGTGTACTACTCGCGTAAACTATAGACAGTATTTAGATAAATCATTATTATGACTACAGCAGTCTATTAAAAACAAAATAGTCTAGATATTCAAATTTTCTTACATATGAAATGTACTGTATATGGACAATTTTTTACTACAAAAGAAGCACAACTTGGCATTATGTAACTAGTGGTGGTACATATTTTGTTGCTAGTACTTTGACAGAAGTGAGTCTGTAAATTCATTTATTATTTATTTATTTACTCATTAAAATTCACGCCATGACAGGTGGGAGCCCAATTCGACACTGAACTTAAAAACTAACATAGAAATATACAATACAATTAAACTATGACTTATAACTAACTATTAACTAATGTTAAATGTCATTAGTTTACTATTACTAATTATCAGTTTATTATTTTATAATTTATATGAAATCATAAACTGTAAACACTTCACGAGCTCACTCCATGCCTCATAGAAAATGTCTTTTTGCCTATGAAGTAAGTTTACTACCTCTATTGCTCTTGTCCAGGACGCTTTTCCTAACAAATTCGTTTTAGCAAAGGGTACTTTTTTAAGACTTGGGCGATGCCTTTTATGTATGTACTGATCAGGTACTAAGAAACTAATTCTTTCCAGCATTTCCATATTGGTTTCTTCTCCCTTATAACATACGCTGCAAAAGACAACTCCCTTCTCACTCTACGCTCCGAATAACCCATCATACCCAGTACGAACAGTGATGGGTAGTAGGATGTACCCATGAGTGTACTTTTCATGTAAAGAAAACGTGATTTTGTCCCTTTCCCAACATTAACCGGTACTTGTCCGCGTGAGGAGACCAAACGGTAGCGTTGTATTCTAAATGGCTTCTCACTAAGGCGTCGTATAAAATTCGAACCGTAGAAAAGCTAGTCAAGTCGCTGCTTTGCCGTAAAACGAACCCTAAACACCTAAACGCTGTTTTGCAAACTTTGGTGACCTGGGCCCGAAAATGTAAGTCTGATGTGAATAACACTCCCAGGTCCGTGATTCGATTCAAACGTTTCAGTGGTACCGGGCCTAATTGATAGTTGAATGGCTTAGGTGCCGTTGATCTAGTAAAGTTCATTATCGAGCATTTTTCCACATTGAAGGACAATTTATTATTAATGTATACCATCAGGCCCAGAGGAGTATTTTGGTTTCAACTGTACTAAGGCTTTCTTTACGTCGTCTATACTTAGATTGGTAAGTGTTAAAGTTCGTGAGCTGTTGTTACCATTTTTTGCCGCCCCTACATAGTGCAAATCTGGTTTCTGTACACTTTAAACACTTTTTAAAAAATTAGCAAACTCTTTTGCGCACTCTTTGTAAGAATATCCAGCTAGTACTACCTCTCCTCATATTAATGTGCTTCCAACAAAGTTTCCAAAATAGCATAGTCAGCGTTCTATGCCGTTTCGCCGATGCCGGTTTAATTTTCGATTTTTAAATTATATCATCATGCCATCATGTGCAGGTTAAAAAAAACTCAGTGAGTGAAAAATATAAAAGTTCTCAAACCTACACGTTACTACCCGTTTTTAACTTTGAATATGCGAGATATAAAAATTTTAGAATTTTAGCGCACAATTCCTTCTTATAATAATTAGATTTTTCTTTTGTGAGCTTACCTCAATAAACATAAATAAGTAGGTATGCATTGTGCATCTTATTTGACAAGTATAATGCAAATACTGTCTATAAGTAGTTTACGCGAGTAGTACACACAACAAAAAAACACACACGAAAAATCTTTGCTTCCCCAATTGAACAACTGTGTTTATGTACCTATTGAAACTTCTCACTTGTACTAAAAAAGAAAAATAAAGCCGCTACACGAAGCATGCATCTGTTTCCGTTTTTTATGACGTTGATCGATAATTTTAAAATCCATCACGCGTCTTAGGCCATATACATTATCGATAAAATAAACTTACTTATTTACGTTTGAACACTGAAATAGTTGTTATTAAAAATAATGTTTGTAAATTATTGTTTTATTAAGCTAAAATATCTTAAAAGATATTATCTTAAATGTTAACCTTGTTAAAGACAATGAAATTGGTATTCTAAAAGAAAAATCTCTCTGGTGATAAAATGCCGAGGTCAGAGTAATTCTAAGACTGGATATACTACTTATATTCATTTTAAAGTGCATATTCAGATAAATAATAAATAGGCTATTATTGTGTGTACAGGGATAGTTCTCAATTTTTTTACGATAGAGGAAGACAGACAAGGAGTTACTTGAATAAAGGTGAAATACTCCAAATATTAAACAACTTAACGAACGCGCTTGGCTTTGGATATTCGAAAAACTATAGACTAAAACCGAAACGCGAGTAAAGTGGAGCAAGTAGATGAAACCATAGCCCGTTGATTATTAGCCATTCAAAAAAGATGGATTTTTGAAGTAGATGTATCTTTTTATGGTAAATTAATTAATATATATATGTCGAATTTAAGGTAGGTGAATAATTTTTTAAAAAAATAAGCAGAACCTCAGATTATACTAGTCATCAGTTCTGCCAGCAATATTGTAAACGCTAAACTTGTATTTTAACCAAAGAAACAACGATTAAACTCAATGTTCTATTTAAAGGTAACATTAACACAATAAAGATTAATGTTAGATAGTAAATCAAAATACAGAATAAGTTTAAGTCTATTGTTTTATACAGAGTGACATGGATTTTACTTACAATGTTTTCGCTTCAAAAATCCGCAGCAAAGTGAGCTCCCACTCAACTGGCCGACCCAGCTGAGCGTTCGCTCTCCCCCCACTTAAAATCACTACACAATGTAATTGTCTCTTTGTTGCGACGTCAAACAACTAGATGGCGGTACAATCGCTTGACTTTTTAAATTTAATTAGAAGTTTAGAAGAAACTATTAACAAAGCAGTTTGTTATAATTTGATAATAATTTTAACTTAATTATTTAACGAGTAAAATGATTTTATGAAAGCCTTTTTAATTTAAGGCGATTAAATTAAATAATCTTACATTTCAATATGGCTGACATTGCCTAACAATTCATATTTTTGAACCAATAAACATAACAAGTCTTTTATGATTCAGTAATTCATTAATTAAATAATAACGATTATTCAGGAGTTAATTGATTCGAACTTAATTAATTTTGTGCTTGGCATAATCAGCATTCATAGGATGCCTGCGGCGATATATATATATATAAACGCATCAGCGAAGCCTTTTAATGTATAAAATTTCATTACAAATGAGGTATTAAAAAATAACTATACTTTTTTTATACTGCCCAAAATATATTATATTTGCTTCGCTGCTATGTCTTGTTTATTTTCCGCAATGTTTATATTTAGACTATGTGATCCGGCCACCGTCGTTTTGTTGTGTATAAAATTAAAATTATTACGAGTACATTGATACAACTCTAATAAATAATTGGTAATCCGGTCGCCGACATTTTTATAGATCATTTAAAGAAGAATCATTCTTGTATGCATCTATTCGTGTTTTATTTAAATGTGTACAACTACAGAGACAGTAGAATTGTTCTTTCATACATAGTTTTTCAAGGAATGTGAAATGAAATATTCGCCCAGCTGTTTGATGTCATATATTTTTTTTTGAATGATTATTTCGTATTGTGTTCCTATGGAGCCACGAATACTAACCGGGCGTTTTGGGCGAGCGCGACAGCGCTCGCCGTGTTTGCGGCTAGACCAAGGGTGCCCGAGGGGGGTCTTGATGTTATACAGTATTACTCCTAATTAATGGGTTTTTTACTAGTTAAATTTACTATCAATATTGTAGAATACAAAATTCTCTGCAAATTTTGTTTAAATCTTTTTTTATACGATGAACCGTTGTCGGTCAAGCGGTGCTTCTTGAATTTGGCGTGTTTGAAAAACAAACAAACTCTTAAGCTTATAGACAATCGCGATGGGTCCTCAACATTTGTAGACTGAGTCATTTCCTTCCTATGCTGCATACTGGTTTGTGCAGACGTATGCTGCATACTGGTTTGTGCAGACGTATGCTGCATACTGGTTTATGCAGACGTATGCTGCATACTGGTTTATGCAGACGTATGCTCTCCGGATATAAATGAGGAACGGTTGGATAAGCTAGAACGTCTGCAAAATTTCTATATTCGTATGTGGCTTGAGAAAATTCGATCATATTTCCGCGTTCCATAAGTGTTGGGATGGACTTGTTCACTTTCGGTGAGATGCACATATCCATTTATCTTCTGTGCTCTATTCTTCTTGCCCTTAATTCTTCTCCCTTTATTAAAGCTAATTTTAAAAACATGGGTACATCTGGGTTGCCTGGAAGAGATCGCTTGTTAGCGATAAGGCCGCCCATTGCCCTCCATACTTTCGTATATTATTCCTCATTTGCATAAATAAATAAAATTATAATATTAAACGAGCATTTCTTTTTGTTTTTTATCTTTACTAATTACGATTAGCAAGCGGGGGTCATTACTTAATGAAAGGTTATTAATGTAGTAACGATTAATAGGTTTTATCGGGAGATGATTTTTTCTTTGTAACGCAAGAAAATATCGCTTCGGGTCGTGAAACAGACCAACGCGGAGTTAGGTCAACCGAGCCAGGAAGTGTGTCAGTCCTCGGAAATCCAACCACTTGCGGCCGTCGTACGTACCGCCTCAAGTGGGCGGGCTATCTCACTTATATATCAAAGGAACAACCATATACTGGCATACATTTTGCTTTAAATAATGTGTCTTTATTAAAACTACTCGTGTTTGTTAAATACTTACTAAAATTAACCTGATTACTACATAACGAAAAGAAAGCCAAAGAGTCTTCTTGTGTTGACTAGACCATTTATCGACGAAGGCTAAATAACATCAAGCTGCGTGCAGTAGGAACGAAGGAAGAGTGAAAATGTGTAAAAACGGGAATAAATGTGAAAACGGTTCAAGAAACAAGAAAAATAAAGGAATAATTCCTCTTCAAATGTTTTGAAATAATGTCCGCGACACTATCTCGCCGAAGAAGAAGAACCGTACACCTTTTACTTTAATACCACTTATTATTAGTGAGAATTGTACTAACATAGCAATATGTTTGTAAAGAATTATTGAATTTCAAATGTGCGCGCGCCACTAGTTCAAGGATTTGTCGCATGGTGGCGCACTAGTCTCATACTCATTATAATATAATCTGTCATTGAAACTTATATTAGTCTGTGCGTGTATCGAAATTTTTGTAATGTCATGGTTTATATGCGGTCGCCTAAAAAGTGCGAATATCTTTTATTGTCGTTTCTTTTTCCAGGTAAGAAAATGTTAGTTGTAAGATTAGTATTAGGTTCACAGCTGTACTAGTTAACTTTGTTAGTTTTCTATTTTTGATTGGTTATGTAAATAAACTTTCTTTTCCAGAAAGCACTTAAAGTATTATTATAGTAGCTAGTTATTTATGACGCGACTCATTGTAGGGTAATCGGGGACCCAATTGGAACTCGGTTGAGTCAGGCTTTTTGGTTTTTGGTCTTCGTTACTTATTTACTAATTAATTTAGTAACTCAAGAAACAATAAGAAATGTATCAGATATGTTTCCCTAAACAGTTTCACAGATGAAATTGATATTGAAGAATGACTCGATCCTAAAAAAGCAATGGAATGGAGGAATGCATATAATAAAGTGATACAAAAATGTGCGTGTATTGGGAGGCCGTTATCAAGACATAAAACGTTATACAATTGCATGAAGACTCATTTGCATCTTTATTTTTTTTATTATCTCTTTATTGCAACACACAAAGTACAAACAAGTGTATCCTAAAAATACCACTATTAGAGAAGAAAAAAATATCATTACTAGTTATGGAGTGCAATGGGCGGCCTTATCGCTTCGATCGGCCTTAGCGATCTCTTCCCGGCAACCCCTGTTTAAAAATAAAATAAAATAAGATATATATCATTCAAAAATTCGAAAACAACTTATCGATCACGACCGAACTGCTCGAAAACCCAAGAATTTCTAGGAATTTTTGGAATTTATTAATTTATAATCTACCGTAGCCTTGACAGAGGATGCCCTAATGCAGCTTCGTTGCTTACATGCTAATAAAATTAAGTACAATCATTGCACGAGTCAGCAGCGCAAAGCAACGAAGAGATCTGGGACGTATAGTGCCAGATATCCTAAGCCTATACTATTACTATACTATTTAAAAATCAAGTACATTCCTTAAAAGACGTAAATATCAGTGCCAGAGAGTACTACGTGTTTTTAAATAAAAAAGGTGTAAATCTGTTTAGTAAAAAAGTATTCGGCGTGATTTCATCTACTTACCGAGGCATCGGTCTATTTGCTTCTCCAAAATATCCAGGATTCGTTCCCGCTCTATTGTGATCAGCTCTGACGTGACAGGTAGTGCGACTAGTGAAAAAAATATATGCACTAAGTCAAGCATCACCATTAAGAAGTTCGCCGTATCCTGCAAAATATTGTAAAATGTAAGAATGTCTTTCTGCTATACTACATCTACACTTTAATAAGAGAATTTGTTTTTTATTTGTTTAAACGCCCTTATCTTAGGTACGACTAAATAAATAATGACTAAATAGACCATTAATTATCAAGGAAGGCTTTATTGGTTTTATTTAATTCCGCTGCGATCAATATGTTTCCGTTCCGTGCGCTGCGACAACCAAAAAATATTTATTAACGTCCGAGACATTGGTACACTTAAGTCTATCTTTCAAATTTAACTCTCACAAATCGTTAGAGTTTTCTAACTCAGTCAGAAGACTAGTTGATACCTTCGTGATACACAAGATCCTTGCAATAGGTACTGCTTTCGTAGATTAGTGGCATAATTTTAAATATTTTTTAACAAAAAAAATAACAATTAATAATCAATAACATAGTAGACAGTTCCCATAATTCGTTTATAACTTAACAAATGAAATCAAATTTTTCATCGACTTTAATGTAACTGTATACGAGCCGTTCAAAAGTGTTTTGACTTGTCAGTTCGTAGTTGATGAACGCGCAAAATCCTTCGAAGGTCGGAAATCCAAATCCAATCCAAAAAATCTTACCTGAAACTAACTATATTTGTCGTATAAAATCGATATGAAGGTCGGGTAGGTAATAATTATCGTTGCTAAAACCTGAAACCAAGCCTATTGTTATTATAGATTATGCAACGGACCAATTATTATTTACATATAAGAAAGATGATTTAGAAAAGCTAAACCTTTTTAAAAATCTACTAAATGACAATAAGGCGATGGAAAGATGACATTTAATAGATTGCAGATTTGAAATATATTTTTAATATCGACCCCAATCTGCAACTCCACACTGGCCATTTCAAATCGATTCATAAGTCGCTTGTAAGCAAACAAATCTTGCTTCATCATTAGTATTTCGTAATTTATATCATCTCGTCCAATAGCATTCAAAGTTGTCGATTTCTTCTGAAGAGATCGCTTCAAGCTCTTCATTGCCTCGTATATGAGATCTAGAAAGAAAACCTTTGGGAAGTTCGAAAAACCGATGGAGAATATAATCACATTGTCCAGTAAAGGGGATCCGGGTGGTTCGCGTAGAGCAAACAGGTAAATTCCAGTCTTAATTAAAACAACAATGAATTCTGCAAGCTGATAAAGCAACACGCGGCAGGATATGCGTTCTTGAAATCCGTGGAACTTATAATATACAGAATTGACGCACATGATCTGTTCAATAATGGACGTTTCGAAGAAGAATGATAAGATAATTAGTACTCCAAATTTTATTGGGATATAGAAGTCAGGTGTGACAAGATCGATTTCCAAATTGTAAGTGAAGAATATGGTGAAGAGGAATACAAAGACCAGACAATACACTCTCTTCAAACTCGAGACAATTTTCGATTCGTCAGTATGAAAGTAATGACCGAGAAACAGTCGAATGTACATCACGGTATTAAAGACAGTATAAGGGTGAATACGAAAGATTGGAAATTTAAACAACTTCATTTTTGGTTTTGCATTAGACGTACTCGCGATAACAACGTCGTTTCGAGAATGTTCTTTGAAAATTGGGTTGCTTTTGTAATGAAATGAAGTTCCATTTGTTTCATTATTGAAAGTGCATTTAAGGTCTTTATTGTTATCTGGACGTATCGGTTTCATGTACGTCGAGCTATTTAATTGGACTGATCCATGCGTCATTTTGTACTTGAATTATTTTTGGCCTCAGGCTTAAGGACGCAATGAATCATGTTTACCCATGTTTGGATTCTATGCCCACTTCTGTATTTCATACCACTGCAATTTATTATTTTTCTGTACTTTTATTGTGGTTTACATAATTTTTGTTGAAACTAATGAAAGAAATCTTTTGCTCCTTTAGTAATTTTTCTTCAAAGTCGAACAGAATAGTTTAAAACTTCGATCTATACGCCAAGACGTCGTAATATGGTGTAAATAAAAAATGTTGGTATATAAAAACTACGCATCTAGATTTTGAGGTATTTATTCACTAAACACAACACTTCTAATTGTAAGAAACAAATCAAATTCATGCACACTAGTGTCGATTAATACAATAAAAAGCGCTTGTTTATTTTTAATCATCACAGCACGTCTATGGTCTACAGCAGGATTTAGCTATTATGCATAAAGCAGTATTAAGTTGAAATTCTATTGGAGGCAGATTAGCCATAAATGTGCGTGAACTGAATGGTGACAATGACGTAGGATACGATGAGGACCACAAAGTTCAAAGGCAGCTGTATGTTGACAGACATGAAACGCCACACGACGAACTCGAAGGGGCGAAGGCTGAGGAATTGGAGAGCGTCGTCGGCTTTAGCTGATACTCTCGGGTCTGAAACAATTGAGATTTGTTGTCAGGGAAATAATAAAGAATGCGTTACAGTGTATGTTTGCCTAACAACAAATGGCAGTTTTGCGCATTCACTATAAATTGTTTAATATTGCCAAAATATCTGTGTGCACGAACACTTTAAATTTTCTTAAGTAAGGAAATTTTTCTCATAAATAAATTATTTTCAAAACGTAAACTATGGCGCCAACATTCCATCAAAACAAAAATGTGTACGTATATTCTTTTAACAGAAGTGGAAACATGAAACTTCATACAAGGCCCAATCCAACAATATTACATTCAAACAAAATGGGGTGTCTACCTATTTTCATTCTGGAGATTGATAAACGTTCAGGCTAAAGTGAAACGACTGATTAAGCGTGTTTATTGACTTTAACAGAATTTCCAAAAGTTTGGTCCGAGATCTGGGAAATGGTAACTTGGCGGTAAATGGGATTTTCCTTTTAAAATGTACGTCATGATGTTAAACAAATACCTGAATGGCGAGCCCTTATCTCGTTCACGAGGTACTTGATCTTTTGCACTTCGCTTTTGGCCAACTCTACCATGACGGAGGGGTAAACGAAGACGGCCAAATGGTACACGAATTCCAGCAGGGACGCAATGTTGAGCTATAACAATTTTGTGATTAGCAATAATAATTAATAAGGAATTTTAAAAGCTCTATGTTGTATAATCTTGAATTCTTCGTCCTCCAGACGTTCTCGAGGTCGGTGGTTCGGTCCTCGGTATTTATCTTTGTTTTCTCTTCGAAACGGTCTCTCCCGAGAAGGAGATTATGAAAAACCGATATGCCTATAAATGTATATACCAATAATACAAGCCTTACTTCAGACAGACAAATCATCATGGAATCCCTTCGAGTAAATACGATTTAAAGTAATAAGAAAAATACTAACAAGTGGCGTGGTAATGTAAATCAGGCGTAGTGTAGTGAGCAAAGCGTAACAAAAAGTTAAAACAGCATCCCATAATATCTGTAACAAACACTAGTTATTCTTATTCATTGTAATTACATTAAAATGAAAAATGTAAGGGACAAATAGCGTACTAACTAACTTAGTACACTTCTTATTGCACCTTTATTTTACCTTAAATTAATTTCACAAATAGGTTAACTTCATTTCGGAGTCAAATGTGGGAACGAAGATAAGAATTCAAGTTACCGATATCTTGAAAGATGAGCCCGTCGAATTAAGGTTTTCCAGCAGACTGTTGTATGCACCGAGATACTTTTTGATATCAGCCACCTCAACATGACACACGGAATCACTTCTACTCTTCACGAGCTCTCTATGGAAGGCCTCCCTCAGGCGCCGGATACTTCTCCAGTTCCATTCGAATAATGTGCACCGCGAAATGGCGTTGAAGGAAACGCCGATTTTCATTGTATACCACGCTATTAAACAGAGTAGACGCGATCTATCCTCCAACATAGATATGACAAACGGATGGGCTATACTGAAACTCCAAGCGGTTAAGAATTTGTTAAAGCCAATCAAAGAAGCAAAAATGAGAGATACTGTCGCGGTTCGCCGTTTGTGCTCCATTCCTAAATTAGCCTCCGTAGCGTGCAGTCTCTCGTGGAAATTGGAAAAAACTCTTCCGTTAATCAGAGAAAAGAAAATAGTAATCGCGTAATCTGTCAAAGTGAAGAACAGCCCCACTTCATAATAAACATTTAAACTCGACGCCGTATTAACGGTTATTGTACAAAATTCGTACACAATAAAGACAGCAAATGAGATCACGTAAAGCCTCGAGAGAAAATCCCACGCTTTAAATTTAAAAAGCGTTGTATGATATCCGAATATAAATCGAAATATCAATATTAATTTTGTGAAAGAAGACACATTTGCCCCCAACATGTTGTCTGAGCCACAACAGTCGTTCTAAACTAATAGTACTCAACGTGACTAGTTTTCAAACACTCGTAATAAATAATTATGCCATTAATGTAATTAAACCATACAATGTAAAAAATATGTACTAGGAATTAAGTGGGTGATCCTTAATTTATTTTTTACAAGTAGCAAGGACAAAAAATATCGATTTCGTTTATCTAAATTAAATTATTCCAAATGGTAATAATAATTATTTAAAATTACATTTGTCCTACAAAAACAAATAACCCTTCTATTTTTAATAAGTGATTATCTACTTAATGTGACTTAACAAAAATTTTAATTATTTTAACTTTGCTCAACCATATGAGTTGAAAATGTGGCTAGACTCCAGCCACATCCAACTACGACGTGTGTTGAAGTTTATGAATAATATACCTTTAGAATACAAGTCCTTTAAACACAGTTTTCCACAGTATTTAAGAACATCGTAGTTAGGAATCGCCAATGAAACGTGGCTTAGATTTTGTGGAACCCGAATATTCAATATACCTGGTGCTTTACTTCGGTACGTTAATAATAACACAATTTAATTATAAATTCCCAGTAGAACTTTAAAAAACTTTACCAATCTACTAACAGTACAGCGTTTATGTGTCTAGAATACATTTATAATGACAACATAACATTAAATTTAATTAGTTACAAATTTTTATATGCAAAGCATCCAATTTACTGTGAGTTCTTTTAAAAGTTTATTTCTATACGTTCGACATTTTCGCTTACACGAATGTCGCCATTTGTTAAGACATTAAGTTTTAATTGTTTCAAAATTAGTTTAACTAATTTTTCAGAAAGAACATCTATTGCTTTCGACTTAGACAGATTATTTATAAGTTGATTAATGTTCATTCTGTACGTTCCAGTATTATCAACTAGTTTTCTATTACTGTTTGACGTGTTTTTATAAATGTTGGATGATAATGTTATTGACTCAGGAGTTGCTTTAAAGAGGAACACGGCTGATATCGCTGAAATAATTGAAAAACATTAAAATAAAACACTCTACGGTTTAAAATGCGAAATATATTAGTTATACATTATATATATCCGCGATGTGTTCCTCAATTTTGGTGTAGTTACGCTTTGTTTTGCCAATGTAGAAAAAGCCACAATCACAATGCAGTTTATAACCTCTGCGTAGCAATTACAATAGTTAATACGTTTAACTAATATATTTCGCATTTTAAACGGTTAAAGTATTTTATTTAAATACATATATTTTACTGAAAGCCTATAGTAATACATATATTTAAATGATAGTAACCGCGCTTTAATATTCGCGAAATTACTAAGTATATCGACATTTCAGACAGCGTTTAAGAATTAAGACATCATGCTGAATAGAAATCTGATTTTATAAACCATACTTGCCAGCAATCATATGTAAAATTAAAAAACAATTTTTAAACATGATGATAAGATTTCATGAATTTTTACAGTTAAAACAATGTAAGACTTTTCATATATTTAGCATATCACTAAAATTTGAAAATGGTAGTCTAAGGAGTAAGGCAAACTGTAAGTGATAGCTAAAGTATTATGTTCTGAAAATGTGAAATTTTATTACATTGTAACAAAAACTATAATATAAAACAGTAAAAATATATCAAGCAAATCTCGTTACGATAAAAAATGTTGCTATTATACACAGTTGCTAAATATACACAGAATATTTAATTTTAACCATACACGTATACATCACGTACTAGCTGTGCCAGCGACTTCGTCCGCGTAGAATACTTACTCCGGTCATTAAAATGCATCTTTAAAAAGAACATTAGTCTAATTTTTAAAGGTACTGGACCTGACTAAACCGCGAATCATGAAGGGTTTGATTTAAAACATTAAACAAAACCCAACATGATTTAATATAGTCGAAAATCTTGAAGAATAGATTAAATAAATAAGTTTAATTAACAATCTTAACTAGCTTTTTCGTTAAGTATATAAATAGAGTTATGTAAAAAGCGGAATGAGTTAATGGGAGGATAAATCAAAGAAGTTTTTAAACCTTGGACGTATTGAACAAAGGTACACTGTCAGTCATGTGTCAGTGATCCTGTCAATCCATAGTGCCTCCGTGGCAAATCGTTCCGTTACACGCAAATGATAAAAAGAACATTTACTTATAAATAATTACAAAAAAGCAATAAATAAACGTATATAATCATTGTTATGTTACGATATATTCGATATGCGCACTCTTAACGTACCTAACGTCCTGAACAGATGAAAAATATAAAAAATTTAAGAAAAATGAGTATGATTGTTTCCTGTAATATGTGTTATTATAATATATTTCATAGTAAAAAATTACGCATTTTTGATATACACGTCATATTACGATTTGGCCATCGTTCTTTTGTTCATTGTTGTTTGCTCGTTGTCGTAAGGTTCCGTCGTTCTTGCGATGCGCAGACATTTTTTAAAACATTTCAAAAGGAATCATTCTTTCATACATATTATACAATCTTGAACCGTTTTCGCAGCGCACGCAACGGAATCGTCAAACATTAATATTTTTCCCCATTTTTATCTACTGTTTCTTCGATTTTATATGTTACCTACTAGCTGTATCAGTGACAGAATAGTCGTTTTGGGCATCCAAATTTTTGCAAACCTCTACATCTTTATAAATTTAAGCCTCCCACGACATCGGTCGCGTTCTTTCGCACGCGACCCATCGTTTGGGTCCCGTCGTTATCGTTTTACATATTCATATAGATAGATAGACCAGAGTCTATCTATCTATATATCTAAGATGTAACCAACACAAATATACAATTCAATACCAACCAGTAGTTTTTAAGATTAGCATTCGCTTTCAAATATTAACTATAAGCTAGCTGTGCCAGTGACATCGTCCGCGTAGTATAGTTATTTTGGGCATCCAAATTCGTTTTTGCAAACCCCTTCGTGTTTATAAACTCAAGCTGTTACCCACGACGTCGATCGCGTCCCTTTCCGTCGTTCTTTCAACATATCTTAAAAGATAGACATATAGCGTCGCGGACTTTTTTAGATCTTTTAAAGAAGAATTATTCTTTCATATATATTTTTTTGGTATCTTGACCGTTATTGCAGCGTACGCCTCGGTAACCCATATTGTGAATAATTTCCCCCGTTTTGTTCACATATCCCGCTGTATCTTCGCTTTAATTAGTTATAGCACAATGTTTAGCACAATAGCCTTCCTCCATAAATGATCTAACCAACACAAAAATAACTTTTCAATTCGAACCCGTAGGTTCTGAGAATAGCGCGTTCAAACAAACAAACAAACTTTTCAGCTTTATATATTAGTATAGATAGAAAACCTTACAAGCGAGTTGTAAGACAGTATTTATTTCATGTAGCCACACCGCGGACTGTCAACCTTTACCTTTCTACTTTGCTCTATAATCTGTACTTGGTTCATCCCGTAACCGAAGTTTCTGAAATAGCCCATTAGGTTTTCAGTGTTGCTATTTAAAAGTATATATCTAAAATAGAGTATATTTTCCGCAGCCGTCTACTAGTGTATCCTCAATATGGAAAATAATATTTCCAAATATTGCATAATAGGTGAAAAAGATATATAGCTCCAGATTGTCAAAAGTTACAAAATCGGCCTGCTGTACCTTATTTACTATATTAAAAATAATATTCTAGACGAGTAGAATAGAGTAGATAGAACTTTTAATTTATAATCATTATTTATTAAATGAATTGAAAGTACTTTTTACATCAATTATTACTATTTGTTTTCTTTTAAATTTGTCAGTATTTTAAACGTATGGCGTTTTTTTAAACATGTTATAGGCAACACTAAAACATTTAATGACATTTAATATTACTTTCTTTTAAATAAGTTTTAGGAGCTGAGATTGATTTTATTATTTAATCTCTTTTTTTTGTTACGTGTGTGGAGGTGGTTCGGTATACGTAAAGCCTACGTAGAAATTTAAGGAAATGTATGTATTATACTAAATTCTTAACATTAATTTAATTATAAATATACAAGGGTGGACTTTCAGACATAGCACAACATATTTTATCATGGTCTTACCCAAGGGTTCTTTTTCCAAAGATAGTTTTAAAACAAAACACACATACTACGTTTTGTTCAAAACTAACTAGGCTCACGTCTGAACTTTTAAATAGGTTATGCTTCAAAGATCAAAGACAAATAATAAAAAAACCGAGACTTCATATTTTGTCATTTTTATAAGTATAAAATTTATATATATATAAGATTTTATGGCTAAGATACTGTGACTTCGATTTTATTCTAAATAAAACACTCGCCTTTGATCTTCTCTAACTAAGGATTATAATTCGCATTAGACAAAAATTTAACAAGTACAAATGGAATCTAATATAATAATTATGATCAATTACTGATACTTAAAGTGTACGTATATAGTAACAATTTTGTTAAGCATAATCTAATTATAGACATGTGTTCTCTTAATTTCAGAATGGCTATAAACAAATATTTCTTCACCATGGATGAGATAGACTTAATACCAAACAAATTTGGCAATTTCAATGACGTAGTGCCGTTATGGAGTTGTGGAAAGGATACACAAAAGTATTTTGAGTTTGAAATCCGGGGATCAGAGGAAAAAAGTTGCGCTGGTATTTTACCAAATATTATAAATTGGATAAATTTTGTGAATGTTTTGAGTCTTTAATGCCATATTCCAGTCTGGGGACATATATCACACCTTTTTCTCACCCATATGGCCCATCCTTCTAAACTACTAGGAACAAGTCTTTTTATACTTTTCATCCCCTACAGTCTACATTATGCTGTATGGTATTTAGATATAATGTAACCTGCAGATCTAAAATTTATTTTTGATTAGTTGACCTTGGAAGTCTTTTCTCTTGCAGGGATCCAAACAACCAGTTGCTACATCTGTGATATTGAGGTGCCAAAAATGTTTCTAATTGAACATAGAAATAGTAGGAAACACTTAATTAACAAAAGCGTTGCAGACACTGCCTTAAGTAGAATAAGCAAAGACTCCATTGATGATTTCAGTGTTGTTAAAAACATAGACAATACAAATAACTACTTTTGTCCAGAGTGTGTAGCTGTTGTCAACGTCGAAGAAAGGCATTCTCACGAGAACCAACAATCACATAAACACTCTGTTCTATATAATAATATGATGGAACACTTCCATAGTGTATATATAAATGAAGTTGATACTTCAAATAGCAAATTTGATAGCTCCATTTGCTCTGAGAGCAACAATAACACAAGACATTGTGAAGAAATATTAACAAGCAAAAGTGGAGTATTCCCAGAATCATCATCACCAGATGGGGAAATAGAGTATGAATTAGAGAGACCCAGCCGCAGCACTGGAGTTGTATTTTGTATGGAGGATGATTTAATTCACTGTACAGTTTGCAATACCAAATTTGACATACATAGCTATAATGTTCACAAAACGGGTAAACGTCACATTATGAACAAAGTCTCCAACGTGCACTATATGATGAGAGAATTTGGTGATGATTTGCAATGTATAACATGTAAAGTGACAGTTGAAAATAGCTTTGAGTCAGTCAGTGCACATTGCAATGGCGCTGACCATCTCGCATCATACTGTAAGGCTCTTAAAGAGAATTCTGTTATTAACAGAAAAGGAAGACTGTATTGCAAGATCTGCGCTAAGAATATTCACAAAAGGAATGAACTTATACACATTTACCAATCATTCCACCAAGAAAATTATGCCAACTACAAACAAGTTGATGATAAAAATGATATGACAACTGATTCTGGTAACAAAGTGGTTTATATTTGTCCAATCTGTGATGTTAAAGTTCCTAACAACATTGATAATATTAAAATTCACAATGATGGTCGACCACATAAGAGTAATCTTCTATTCAGAGATCAAAAAACTGACTCCCAGATGGAATACATAGGAGATAGTGCTATTAGTGACATTGATCTCCAAGAACAAGACAAGAAGAGCTCCATGGAAGACAATGATATAATAGTAAAGAAAAAAAGAACGAGAGGGCGGAGAAACAAAAAAAATATAACAAAAGCCTTACCAAATGATCTAACAAGTTGTACTACAAACTCGAGCAAGACTGCATTGATAGAAGTCGGAGACTCAGTTGTGGAAACTTCAATTCCGGAAACAGAAGTAACTTTAAATGTGAAGTCTTCAATTTTGACCCCTGAGCTATTAAACTACGAGGACACACAAAAAGTTTATGATGTACATCCAAAACTTTCAACTGCAACATTGGAATCTGCCAATTCAATTCAAGAACCCTTAATTCAGTCTTCAGGATCTAAAATTGTAATTCCAGAATATTTAAATGTAAAGAAAGAGCTATTAACTCCAATATCACAGTTTTCAAATCAGGTTCCATTGAATCCGTCTGCAGAAAGTTTAAATTTGTCATCAGAACTAGTAAGTCTAAATCCAGTTGCTAATTCTATCTATGAACCCTTAATTCCAGCTACAACATCTGCAAATCAGACCCCAGAACATACCTTAAATGAAACTTTGAAATCAACAAATTTAATTCAAGGGGCATGCCTTCCAATCTTAGATTCTAATCAAAACTCAAAACTTGCAATTGTGACTCCAGGACCCTCAAATGATAGTAATGTTGGTTTATCACAGAAAACAAATCCCATAAATTCAAAACCCACAGCAAAAGATCTAGCAGATAACCCTCTAAATCTAATCAATTACTTGGTACAATCAAAACCAGATTACTTGAAGGTTTTCCAAAGCTTACTACATTCCACAGATACAACCATTGAAACTGCGGACTCAATAAAAACAGAATATATATGCTTTATATGCAAAATGAAAGTACCAAATCATGATAGTAATATAAAACAACATAATGAAGGAAAAACCCACCAAAAAAACTACATGGAGCTACTAACAAAGAATAATATAGAAAAATACAACAGTAATTATTATTGTAAACTGTGTAATATCACGTTTGACAATCTGTCAACCCACTTAAAAAAAAGAGAACATATGGTCAAATTTAAAAATAAACAGTGCAATGCCAAGAAAGCATGTGACAAAACTAAAACGGCAAAAGCCAAGGTTTTACCTTACATAAAAGTGGCTAATGGCAACGATTTGTACTGTCAGGCATGTTGCTGCCACTTTCCTAACACCACAAATAATTTAAAGTCACACACCCAAGGATTTAGGCATCAGGAGGCAATTAAAATATTTACTAATTGTTAGTTAATAAGATGTAATCTTGAATAAGTTCTTAGAAATTATAATAAGAATTGAATCGACTTTAAGAGATAATTTAAAATCTTTTTGATAGAACTGTCTAATTTATAATACCTGTATACGTAAAACTGATAAGTTCATTTAAATTTTGTAAATAATGAATACTATTATACAGAGTTTATTATTATAATTATTTTTTATTTAAAAGTACATCTTTAAATCGAACGAACTTGTTGCTCTAATGGTAATATATCTATACTAAAGTTATAAAGCTGAAGAGTTTGTTTGTCAGAACGTGCTAAGCTCAGGAATCATCAGCCCTACAGGGCTCTGCAAGGGGACGTCATTCGCGCCTTGTGGCGGACAAGGCGGTCTCTAGGTACATGAAGTTGGTTATGGAACGCCCCCGCATCTCGCGGTCAAGCACCGCCGGGTGAGACCCCCGGTAACCCCGGGGAAGGCCCAGCGGACGAAGACGCGGGATCGGCGTTCAAGGTCAAATCCGGTGATGGTTTCTTCACTGACTGTTGCCGTCTGCTGCTACTGCAGGGAGTCGAGACGGGAGAGGAGGTCTCGCGGAAGCGGATATCTTTGGTCCGGCGACCTAGTGTGCCATGGGGCGAGATGTTGAAGGTGAAGTGTGCGCGATGAGTCGGCCTTTGCGAACAACCCCTTGGCCAGCCGGACGATAAATTCTTCAAGTGTGGCTTGCCGGGGATCTCGGTGGATAGTGGTCAGCCAATTGAGCTACCTACCAAGTTCTATAAGTCATTGTCGAATTTTTTTTTTACCTTATTTATACATGCACCCTTCGTTTAATCTGATTTCTACCTTAGTACTTGCGCACTAAGGTTCAATACTGCGTAAAATTTTTTAATAATGACGCCTGTGCCAGGAGTTAATAATAACCAGTGACCCGTAGCTTCGATTCTCACAGTCAACATGTTTCTAAAACTAATTTATTAGTTATCTGAATCTCTAAATTCTGCCCCGAATATATTGTTCAACGTCTGTATTTAAAATAGCCGTAAATTGTTAACCGCTTTCTGCGTTTCGGTTTGGATTATCGAATATTTAAAGTATTATTATATAGGTCAACAGTGCATTTTATCGTATTATGACTGGGTACTGAATGTTAGTTATTAAAAAAATATTCATATTGTGTTCTTTACTATCAACACAATGAAAAAATCATTTTAATGTTTTTTATTCATAAAAAATAAAAATCAAACATTATAGTTGTATAGTTCTACGAAAAAGGCTCCATTTTATTTCACGTCCGAACTTAGCAGTTCTCATAAAATTTTAGCAAACAGTTGAAAGGAACAAGAGCCATTATGAATCTGTAAAGGAATTTCTTACAAGTTACAAGAGAATTTTTTTAAATTAGTAACTGACTTCGAACATAAAAAAGTAAATTTACTTTGCACAAAGTAATACGAATTACTTTTTTAATAAATATTTGTACAATATAATTTTTAACCACTTCGGGAATATTTAATAAAAAAACAGAACCGAAGCGAATAAATAATTAAAAGAGAAATCAAATTAAAATACAATCTCTTTTATCTACCATCATTATCATCTAGCAACAGATATTAGACAATTAATGTCTCTGAGCACAGAGTCATTAATTGCATGTCTATGTTGCCCGAATTAGACAATGTGTTAATAAGAATTGGCGATCTCGTTACCAGGCCATTAAATATAAAAAAAAAAGACAAAGTGTTATCTACGAAAATCGATTAGTCTATGAAAAATGCAATGTCAAACGAAGGTAACCTGACAATTGACATATCATACTCAAATCACCGAATGGCTTGTGTTTTTGTTTTGTAATTGTCATATGTAATACTAAATGAGCTCAATACAAGAACGTTTGCAACTAAAACGCGTGCCTTTAGACACATGGAACACAAGAGAACAATTATGTCTTGCATCCGCTGTCGTCCGAAGCGGTGATCAAAATTGGATGTCTGTTTCGCGGGCGCTAAAAACTATAGCCGAACCGAACAGACCACAAGACTGGTATTCACAGAAGAGGTACAAAATATCAACTAGAAGCACACTACAATACAGTGCAGTTTGTTTATTGTATTAACTGGTTACTTTAAAAATATAAGTCACTGTTAATCTAGAACAGAAATACTATTGTTGTAGAGTGTCAGCTACTGTGCTCTGATTTTAATAAAAATTTGAATGTAATCAAAATTTGTCGAGCCTTGGGCTATAGAAATAGAATAAACGTCCTCCCAAATTTTGAATTATACATTTTATTACTCAGATATATGATGAAATGAAAAATCTCAACCATATTCTCTTCAACTAACATGTAATAAGCTCTTATCATTTACAAATGTTTGGCTATTATGTGGCTAAATTGAAATATTCACTCGGGTTTTCTAAATAGGAATTATAAATTTGCTTAAAATATTGATTTATGTAATATATGCATTATTATTATAGTATTGAATAATTTCCCCCTTGATACAAGTTTCTTACCTTAAAATTCCTCCCAGTGCTTTACCCATAACCAGAACACCAGTATTTTGCATAGAATTATTTTTATTTTCTATTGGGGGCTACAATAGAAGGCTGGGTGATCAGTCCACACTATCAGCTGACTATTTCACCCATTTTCCCATTTCCTCATTGCAGAGGACTTTGGGTTACATTTTTGCCTATTACCAAATCTAATTAAATTAAATGGGAATCTTTAAATAGATAAATTGTTTTCAGTTGTGCTGTTCAGTATGGGGCGTTATTGGAGCATGTGGATACTCCTAAACGAAAGAAGAGAAATTCTGAAGGTGGAGTGGAAACACCGCAAGAGAGCATTCTTAAAAGACTCACCGAGCAGAGGTTACAGGAAATCCAGAAGAATATAGCAGAGATGAATTCACAATATGAACAGTTAAAGGTGATATAGACTTTTTGAGAAATTAAGCATTAAGATGAAATAATGACTGTACAGCTTTTTTTAGATAGAGAAGGACCGACAAGCATGGGCTTGATGGTAGGTGAAATATTCCAGCATTAAACAAGATGTGCTGTCTACCTATTTGGATATTTGGAAATCCAATGACTGAAACTGGAACGTGATTAAACTTAACAGCTTTTTCATCTGTGGATGGTAGTTCGTAACTCGGACGGAATCTCGATATTCCTACTACCCAATCAATATCCAAATTTTCAGACAAAGTCCGACATGTTTAAGAAAAAATATAAATTTATTGAAAAATGTTGGACACCGTGAGGATTGACCCACAATCCATTGATTATTAGCCATAGATTGCTATCATTATAGCAACTTACCAACCTTACCATTAACAACAAAATTTTAATGCTTTTTAATAATAACAGAATGAAATTAACGAAGTGAGAAACCCAGCAACGTCAGAACAAAGACTACAAGAGATGTGGGCGGATATAGAGGCATCAAAACGCGCCAGAGAGAGAGAGAATGCACGGCGAGTTGCCTGGTTGAAAGAGCGAGAGGAGAATAGGCTGAAGGCTGAGAAGGCGTGGCGACCTCATACCGTGACGTCACCCGTACAAGGTAAGAACTATATCTAACTACAACTAAAACGGTCTATGCCAATTGCATTAATTGTAAAAATATAAAATAAAAGGCAAACTATGGACGAAAAAGAATCGCACCATTTTAAACATTTGGAAACAATTGTTAATTCCTGTGGATTTTATTAAAATCAAAATCATCCTATATTCATTCTCTACCTGAAATGGACTGTAAATATTATCATAACATAGAGAAGAGAAATGTCTATTCCAAACAAGTGTTAATAATAATCAAATTTCATTCATTAATTCATCGTGTTTCGGTTTTAACCTGTAGATTTCCGAATATGCAAACCTAAAATAGTTAGACAGCGCACCGTGTCGCGATGTTTTATGAAGTATTTCACCTTCCATCAAGTCCTATGCTTGTCCTCTATCATAGAAAAAATCTTTTGATCCAATTGTGGTAGAACTTGTCTTTGTTAAAAGCCGATTATAATTTAGTGTGTTTTCTTACAGCATCATCACCTAGTCCTTCGTCTCCTCTATTGTCATCATTATTGAAGTCAACACCGGTTGTAACAACGCCTCAGCATATTCTACACCCTAACAGTTCTATAGGTATATCACGCTTATTCTTTTTTCTTTAGATATTAAGGACACAATTGTTAAAATTGGTTTGTATTTAATAAGCTGGTGGAACCAGAACAACAGAGGAGCACTTGGGAAACTGTGGTATCTAAAAAAGAGTAATGGAATTGGATATAGGATTAGAATAGCCTTAAGGTATTTAGACAACTTAAAAATATGCTGATAACCATCCTCGATTGAGAAGAATTAATTCTTCCGGCAGTAGAGAAGTTAACATCTCCTGATGATGCTGTCCGCTCGTGATGGCGAACAGCAAAAAAAACAATGATATGCTGAACGATGGCCGTGAAAGCCTTACACAGTTTATGAGTTATTTATATTTTCAGTCTAAAAATGTTAACCTACAAGAGCACAGTTATATTCGTCTAAGTTAATCGCTCATTATTTTCCTCTTTATTGAAAATCAAGTCTTTTGTTATTAGGCCACTCTGCCTCTAGCGGCCTCATATATTTCTTGTTACAGAGACGATCTCTCCAAGCGCCGGTGCGCCGACACTATCTTCGCTTCTTGAGCAACCCCAGGATACCAAACACGCGGCCATTGAGCACATAAAGAGTCAATTGGTACAGATAGAGCACCAGCTAAAAGGTATGCTTCACTTGTTTGGATGTGAAAGAGTAACAAACATACTTTGAGTTTGTTTAACTACTGGTTCGAATTGAAAGATATTTTTTTGTGTTCGATAGACCATGAAATAAAGGGAGTCTAAGAAACAGTGGAAAATGTGGACAAAACGGGGATAAAATAATTCATCTTTGAGCGCTTCCGTGCGTTGCGACGCTTTCAGAGACTAGATAAATGTGTACGATAGAATATTTCCTCTGTAGATGATATAAAAAATTGTGCGCGACATTAAGTATATCTATGAGAGTAACTCTCAAGAATCGTTTTATTGATACAATTTAGTCGAAATTAATGCTTTATTAAAATCTGTCTGTTTACGCGAGTAATACACATCTAAATCAAATCACTTTAACGGTTTAAAGCTTATTTAAAAATCATTTTAACCATGGCTCGACGTTACAGATGAGAAGGTTTGCAGCAGCCGTTATCACGGGGAAACCAAAGATGGAGGGGGTCTCTGATGTTGAAAGAAACAGATGGCGCTAGCGTAGCAGTTCTTAGAGACATCTTCCATCTTTAGTTTCCCCGTTAAACACGGCTGCTGCTAATCATCCGAAACTTTGAGCCGTAGTTAAAATAACTTTAACTAATATATTTTGCGTTTTAAACTGTTAAAGAGTGTTTGTTAGCGTAATAATATTAATCTTGCAAACAATGCATAATAATATCCAACCTCACTTGTTAGCAAGCACGAGCGGTTCACCAATACCTGCGACAGTACCTCCACCTATAACCGCTGTCGCGCCCGCTTCCGCTCCAGCTGTGGACATAGACGATATTGAAATTAAGGCGGAAGATGTCTACGCGTTTCGAGATATAGACATACATATACCACCAGTCGCTGCTATGCACAAGGGACCTAGGTGAGTACAGACAGATATATAGAAGTCGTTGAGTTATAGTGTATTTATTCTTACTTGGCAAAAGACCACAACAAACGTGGCCGATCTCAAACCATAGAGAACTAGTGCCACAGCTGTTATAGGGATAAAGAAACACGATTATATATGGACCTAACGAACTTAGTATTCAAAATCACCTTTGTTTGTTTTTTATGTCATCATTTAACTCGACGTTTCTAACGCTTTTAGCGATCGTGTATAAAGAAGACCTACCTATTGTCGTTGACTTTGCTTACCTGATATTAAACTAAGTACATTTTAATCTGTTCAAGTATTTTAGGGTAAATCAATGTAAACTTTGTACGAAAATCATGTTTTCATGTAAATTGTGTGTTTTTAAAAATAAAAATGTCAAGTTTGAAAAAATACAGGTCTTTATGCCGTAAATAATATTTTTATTGATGGGCTCGTTGGTCTGATGGTAGCAATGTATGGCTAATAGTTAAACGGGTAATATTTTTTTTTGATATTAAATGGATGGTAGGAATATCGAAAGTCCGTCCAGGTCACGAACCATAGATGAAAAAGCCCTCGTGCTCAATGGCGGTTTCAGTCTGTGGGTTTCAGATTATCTCAAGCTAAAATACTGGTCGAGCGTGCCACTTGTCTTGTGCTATATAATGCTGTTGCTCCACTACAAGAAAAATACAAATTGGCTCTTATTTTCAGAAGTGAAAAACAGTTTAAGAAGGAAGAAGACCACGCTGTTGAGGCTCCAGCGATTACACCCGAGGAAAAGGTTATTTGACTTTCTATTTTTAGAAGTCGGCTGTTCGATAATCTGTCCGTTTCACTGATCGGTTTTATTTACAGACAAGTTATTTGAACAGCACTTCTGTGCCCTGCCCGACCGCAACAATCCATTGTTTTGCTGGGATTCGAATCTAGAACTTATTAAGCTAAACGTAATGCCAGGCAACGTTTAACCATTTAGCTACAGAGGCGGCCCCAGTCATTAGAAGACTCCAGTAGAGATCTATATATAAAAATAATATTTGTAAATTACCTTCTAGTTCAAAATAAAGTTGTTTTATTTAGTTTTCTGTATTTTCAGATAGAAACGGAGATTCATGTTGGCGAAGGAAACCTGCAAAATGTTGAAACGACCCACGACGTTGATGTGGTGAGTTATTTTGCCGATATCTACCAAAACGAATTGTTGTTATTATTTATGATAGAGGAGGTTTGACAAGCATGGTGTTTACTTCATGGAAGGTTAAACACCACAGTCATATAACTTTAAATTAAAATTCGTGGCTTTTTATCGGTGGTTCGTGGTCCGGACGGAATTTTTATATTCCTACCACCCACTTAACACACCACACAAAAATTAAGATTTCCAGGCAGTTTCGGAAAAATTATAAATTTATACAAATTAAAAGACTGTATGTACACTTCTATATAATATAGTTTGGTGCATTACATTTTTGTCTACAGGTAGAGTCTATGGAGATAGAGACCGCACCCGAGGTGGAGGAAGAAGTAACACAGGAGACGGAAGTACCGAAAGCGCCGGAAGTGAAAATCGCCTTCCCGGAAGTGAAGTTTCCGACGACGGAAATTAAAGTTATCGAATCTGATGATGTGCAGGTGCTTAACTTAATTTTTTATACATAATTTGAAAATAATTCGATGTTTGTATAGTATATTTTTTCTAACTTGACATTTTTGATAAACAAACGCACAATTTGCATGGAACCGCGATTTGCTTACAAGGTTTACACTAAAAACGCAATTAAACTTCATGGCTTTTTTTATCTGTGAATGGTGGTTCGTGCCTGGACGGAATTTCTATATTCCTTCCATCCATTTAATATCCAGATTTCCAGACAAAGTCCAATATGCTTCAGAAAAATTATAAATTGAAAAATTAGAAAGATGTTGGTCTGTATGTGGTGTTTTCTCAAATTAGAAAAAATATAATTACATACAGCATTACAGTACGCTTTAGGGCGCCTTAGTGACCACGTGACCAACTAAAAATATTAAGTTATTTTATTTGAAATTACTTTGCTAATAGAACGATTGAGGATTTCGACGCATGTCCTCTTGTTATGTATACGAATTATCGGTCACTTATATTAAAACGATAATAATAATTTGTGTTTCAGATCAAAGAAGAAATGCAACCGAAAATTGAACAAGCACAAAAAGAGATAGTAGAAGTAGAAAAAACGGAGAAGACAGAGATAGAAGTCGTAAGAGATGCGGTTCCTGTTGCCATGCCGCAGGAGGAAATAGTGGAAGAGTGAGTTTACACAATTTGTGTGTATGTTTATTTAAAACAGATATATAATATAAATAATCCAAGGAAAAGTTACACATCACACTCAGAACTTTCGTAATCTTTTTTTCTTTATTATTGGACTGCCTTTCTGGCGCTAGATTTAAACAAATTTGGTATAACTTGCCAAAAATCTTATATCGCTTCTAGAGTTCTGGAATCCTCTCTTCATATTGTCTCAACTACTATTTTAGGCCAGAACCAATTCAGCCTGTAGAAGTGGAGGACCAAAAGGTAGATGAGCCTGCACCAGAAACGCCAGACACAACCATTCAAGAGGTGGCAACGAATATACAAACAGAAGACATACCCCTGCCTCCCGAGTCGCCACAAAAGGGTAAAAAAAATTTTTAGAGGATTTATATTTACTTTTATTATAAAAGGGTTTCCAAATATACTCTTATCGTTGATTCGAGATTCAAAAAACAAATCCTGTGGTGTTTATAATATAAATTAATAAAGTTATATGAATAAATTAAACTCCAGAAGCAGCAAATGAAATTGAAGCGACTGAAACGGAAGCAGCAAAATCTCCTGAACCAGAAATAGTAAAAGAAGAAGTAGCCGCAGAGGTGGAGGATATACCGCTGCCGGAAGTTGAAGTCAAAATGGAAAAGCAAGAAGAAGAGATGAAAGATGAAGACGCTGATATGGGGGTATGTATTGTGGCAAAAAAAATTTCAATTACAGTTAAAAATAGGTATAAATCTGTAGACTACAGTTTCCAGGTCCGCTAACGAAGTCCAACATGTTCCAATAAAATCATAAATTGGTTAGGAACATGTTGGGCTCGGTGTCGATCCCCACCCACGATCCTTTGATTCCACGAGCCATTGCTGTCATCTCTATTTGTTATCATGTAAGTCCAGCATTCCTCGACGTGAGACGCAAGACATATTATATTATTCTTTGTCTCTTCCGATGTTGATTTGTGAGGAAATTTAAAAAATCTTATATTGAACAGAATGATCGACAAACTGTGTAAGCGAAGACATAGTCTGTTTGAAGAAAACATGAGATACTGTCTATAGTTTACGCGAGTAGTACACATTTAAATAAAACACTTTAACGGTTTAAAACGCGATATATTAGTTAAACTTATTTGAAAATGATTTTTAACTTCGGCCCGACGTTTCGGATGCTTTGCAGCAGCCGTGGTCACGGGTCTCCCCGTGACCACGGCTCATATCAAAATCATTTTCAAATAAGTTTAACTAAAACATGAGATGATAAATAAAAAGACTTTGTTACAGGACTCCATCCCGTTGAAAGAGATTAAAGAAGAGATTTTGCAAGAGAAAGAGATTTTAGAAGAGGCACACACGGAGACGGATGACGACACTCCAATGGAGGTACAGTATAAAATTTCTTTACTCCACGTTAGACGGGCATATTTCTGTGACCGTTCATTGTTCGTTTGTTAACGGGTGTTTACTTGCAGCTAAGTAGAGAAGAAGAGAAAGATGGAAAGACGAAAAGAGATTACTCGAGGAAGAAGAAACCGGATTCTAGGAGTGAGTGTTGTTACGCCTTTTCACAGTGCTTTTTTTAAAACATTTATTCTATATTAGAAAGATAGACAGGTTCGTTGAAGTTACTCATAAGCCGGTCCTAACTAAACTAAACTAATAAATCCAGGAAGTAGTAATATTTATTTTTTTTAGTTCTAAGTGAGTATATATTGCATATACATCATTAAATAAGTTTAGTTCGTTTGTAAAACGAAAAACTACTTAAGTAATTCGATGTTTAAGAAATGTTAACGGTAAATATCGATTTTGGTTATAATATTTCGCTTTTGTATTGAAAACTAGTAGTAAATTTAAATGTAGAGTTTTTTTTTACTATAACGTTCACAGCATTTTTATCGGTAACTCGAAATTTATTATATAACTTAACCCGGCTACAAAAAATTCGAAACGTCAGTAAATATAATTCTCGTTTTAAACAGTTTTATTTCAATGTGTAGTACTCGCGTAAACTACGGGCAATACTGTGACGTTCATAAATCTACCTTCTTACCTACATGAATAAATAATGTTTGCTTTGATTCCACAGCATGTTCGGGCTCCGAAAGTGCACCAGATTCACCAAGTTCGAGCGAAGCCGAGCGGCAGCACAGGTTGTGGAAGAAGAGCGTTATGCTCGTGTACAGCAGGTAGATTGTTTTAGGGGTTGTCTTGATGGTGTTGGGGTTTGCAGCCGAAATAACTGATTTAGTTTCATCATATCATGAAACTTTTCTAAACATTTAATCAGTATTCTATCTATGTATGTATACAAATACTGTCTATAGTTTACGCGAGTAGTACACATTTAAATAAAACACTTTAACGGTTTAAAACGCGATATATTAGTTAAACTTATTTGAAAATGATTTTTAACTTCGGCCACTATGCTTTGCAGCAGCGTGGTCACGGATGCCGCAAAGCATAAGTAGCGTAAGTTTAACGAATATATCGCGTTTTAAACCGTTAAAGTGTTTTATTTAAATGTGTACTACTCGCGTAAACTATAGACAGAATTCCTCTTTCTTTCTTTTTGTAGTACCTGTTGTTGACATAAATGTGCGTGCATGCTTTGCAGCAGCCGTGACCGCGGCTGCTGCAAACCATCCGATCCAATGATCTAATATCCGCGACCGTATATGTCTGTCTTCTTTATTAACGTGTAAGGACACCGTAGGTAACGACTACGATTCATAAACATATTTGATGCCCAAAATAAGTGCAAAAATAAAGCATATTCAAATAAAAATGTTTCCTTGCATATTATAAAGAAATATTTTAACTAATATAGGTTGTGCGCACACAAGTACGCGTCATTATTCCTTCGGCCTATCACGGACGAGGAGGCGCCCGGTTACAGCGCTATTGTGAAGCGGCCTATGGATCTCTCCACTATACGGAAGAATATTGATGCCGGACATATTAGGTAAGGACTTATTTTTGGTTGAAATGTGGGAAATCTCTTTTTCTTATATTCAGCATATATTTTGTCTTATGTAAAAGTGTAAATTCCAACAAATATTTATATTTGTTTGAATGCTTTAAAAATTACATTTATTAAACGATATGACTATATATTATAAGTTCCTAATTAATCTATATATTTTTTTAATATGTTGGATTTTGTCTAGAAATTTAGATGTTAACCGGGTGGTAGTAATAATGGTAACTTTGATGGCATCTCGGTCATTGGTTTTCCGAATATCCAAAGCCTAAATGGGGCGACAGCGCATTGTTTAAATATTATATGACTGGAGTATTTCACTTGCCATCAAGTGAAATACTTCGATCATAAAACAAAATTATAAGAAAAGGAATATTTTTGGTATAATTAATATTAACGAGATTAAAACGGGTACAAATTTATAGTGTTGGCTTAGTTTATGGGTAATAAAGATTTACAAAATGTTACGCAGGACAACAGCTCAATTCCAGCGAGACGTGCTGTTGATGTTGTCGAATGCTCTGATGTACAACAGCAGTTCACATAGCGTATACACCATGGCCAAGGATATGTTCGAAGAGGTAAGTCACCTAGAGGCAGAGTGGCCTAATAACAAACATAATTATAAATAATAACACCCAATTAACTTATTATAATTATAATTAATTAATACTGTTATTTGTGTTGGAATTACGCTAACAATTTTCGGTCTATGCGCTTGTAGATTAACATCTTTAGACCATAATATAAATAACTCAAGTCATAAATTGCAGTTAGGTTACTCTGCCTCTAGCGGCCTTATATATACCGTTGGATTCCAAAATACTTTATTTTGTAGCCGAGATATTTTTGTGGCTTCGTCACTTGTCTTTACCAGTAGGTAGTAAGCCTTTTAATGTTCAATTTGTTTAACTATAACCATAAAGCACTATTTTATACTCGTATTATAAACTTTGAAAAAAATCTGGAAATAAATGAAAATGAATAGCACCATAAAACACCTTTTAGCCCCTAATATATGGTCTCATAGGGTTTCAGAACTGTTCCATTTACACCCTGTATAACCTTACCTATGTTGTTTGTTCTCTACAGGCTCAATGTCAACTCGGTATGCTGTTAGCAGCGCAAGCGCACGCCGGGTTGGTGACGGCGGCTGCCCCGCCCACTCGCAAGCGACGTCCGCAATCAACCAATCCGAATTCACCATCCCAGTTCAAGTCGCAGCGGATATAGTCCGATGGATCAATACCGTTCGTGTTTTATTTAAATGTACTACTCGCGTAAGCAGACAGTGTTAAATAGTAAAATGATAAATGGAAATAAAGTATGATGAAAAATTTAGCCAGATGTTTTCATTCATATGAACTGTCGGAAGTAAAAATATTTCAATGACTCTGTTTTGGATTGATCCAGGTTTCAGAAGCATATCGAAGATGTCATATGGTTGGGGTATGTCGCCATCTAATGACGGGACCTGGTCTAGGTCGTGGGTAACAGCTAAAATGTATAAACTGCAGAATTCGGCAAATAAATGTCAGATTTACTACGATAACAACTCAACAAAGTGTCGCGTAATGATTAGACTTCAAATTGTTTTCTTACAAGTGTGACTCACCCAAGATAATACAGTAAAATAATTTTATCTCGGGTGAATAATCCTTTATCTATATGAGAAATTTATGTTTGTTCGTTTGTTTAAACGTTCTTGTCGTTGACTCGTTTTACAAATTATTTCATTGTTGCAATCAAAACGAAAAAAAAAATAGATGATTTAAGTGCGACGCGAATACGCGCTTAAATATCACTATGTTTTAAATAAATAAAAAACTCATACAATCGATAGCGAGATAAGTATGAACAAAAACATATATATGCAAAGTGTTGTATTCTATTACCATTCTAAACATTACACGAATAGGCCACTTTAATCCAAAATGATCGTGTATATATTGTTATTGATAGTCGCGATTTTATTTTTAATAGTGCAAATTAGGTTGGATAATTTTGATGTGGAGTTGGTCCCCAGGCATCAAAACGTAATTTTCTTCGAATTATGTAATCTATAGTTTCATTTCAAACAATAGAGACCATTGATGATCTTAATAGAGTGAAGTTGATGCCATAGATGGCACAAGAATAAAGAAACATCGATTACATATGGAGCAAACGACCTCAGTATTCAAAATCACTTTAGCAGATTTTTTTTAAGTCATTTTTATTTAATTCGACGTGGGTTACGCTTTTCAGCGATCATGACTTCGACCATCTATTGTTGTTGACTATGCTAACTAAACAATAGTGTTATTATGTCTAATTACGTAAACAATTTTTAGGACTTTTATTAATTGCTTATGGTAGTTGCCATCCTCTCGTCTGCTTAAGACGTAGATCTGCGCTTGAAAATTTTTTACCCTTACATGCCTTGGACGCGTATATTTGCGTCTAAACGTAACATAATTTTTTAAAAGAATATTGTGTTTTAATTCGTAGCAGTAACAGATGCAGTATTAAGAGAAATTTTTACTTGTGTCAACTACATATTAAATGATAGAGAATAGAGATAGATGTTAGTTTGTATTTTTCTTTATGGCTCTAGAATAAGTTGTCGGTTAGTACTTAGTTCCTGTATAGTATACAATGAGAGAGAATTTTTATTATTTTATTTTTAAAATCGGGCCTACACTACTAATACTATTTTTATTAAGTGGGTAACACACGTTAACCGACAGGTTGAAACAAGCCACCCTCAAAATCGAAACCATATTAAAAAAAAACAAGAAAGCACAGCTTATAAACGTGTATTTATTTCGGGAATAAAATAAAACACTACAAACAATATTTCTATAATATACATTTCACTTACTTTTAAGTCTTATACAACCATTAGCGATATCGGGCAGATGTTCACCCCGAGCGCGCTTAAGAACCCAACAGTGGGGCTGTCATGTGTCACCGAGGCATGTCAGTGTCACTTTGACAGTTCGTAAGCGCACTCGCGGCGAACGACGGCTGTTTCCTTCATTGTTAGGCAACCGCCCATTCGACCCCCACGTGTTACACAGAAATACTATTTTATTTATAATGATAGTTGCTAATTGCAGGCCCGTTGCGCGGACGCATATTTTTAACGTGTCGATCCTAGCAACGGGCAACGAGTGTGTCGACTTTTAATATCAGCTGCGGGTGCCAGCCGTGAGTTTTAACGTTCGTAAAATAAATTCGCCAACTCAAAACAACAAGCATACAATTTTCGATATAAATACGTCAAGTTTGGTCATTAGTAAAACAGTTTTGACATTTAGCAGTTTTAATATCGAAATGGTTAGTAACGAAGAAAAAACACAGGGTTTAGGTGAGTGGGAGAGATAGATGATACCGATACAAATTATTAAATGTCAAATCTACTTTTCCTTGTGTCAAATCCTTATTTAAGTATCGTCATATTTGTCGCGAATTGTTATATCCATGACCTACAGGCGGGAAGAGAACCTGTGTACCATCGTGACGCCTGTGTCATGGACGTTGTTGTTGAAACCTTCATCATAAGTTACCATGTCTCTATGTTTTTCGTTTTATTGCATAGTTATTATATAATAAACACGTTTACGACAAACTTCGTGTTACATCTAATTGATAGATATAGAGTACCTCCCTCCACCTGCACTTTGAAAGAGAAATTATGCAGCATTAGTCACCGTTTACTCATTGTGACAATAATGTTACATAAAGAAATGCCCACATTTTGTATTTTTGTGACGGTAGTGTAATAAATAATAAAAAATAATATCTAACGACAAAGTGATGTCTGTGACCAAATTGCCTAAGATAAAACACGATTCATATAAATAATTATCTTTATAAACAAAAAAAAAAATCTTTCACTAATTATCAAAAAAATATAAAAAATTGTAACGCAAAACTATATATCCCTCAAATTTTAATTAAATTTTAACATGTAGTTGTGTTGTTTGCCTTTGTGATGATGTGTATTTGTGTCTGTATCTGTCGAGCCTTTAGAAATAAAACACTTTCAACAGATGAAACGCGAAATTTATTTTAATTACGCTTCGAATGTATCATAGTGGTCACGAGAGCACGGCTGTTGCAAAGCAGATACATTTCGCGTTTCACACCGTTAAAAGTGTTTTATTTAAACTCGCGTGAACTACACACAACATTGAGCATCTACTTTTGGTTCTGTCGTAGCGCAGCGGCGATGTCCCTTACGTCGAGTTGAACCTTCGGCTTGTGTTGTGGCGGTTCAAAGAAATAGTCGAACCGTTTGAAGGATTCGATCTCGCGATCGGTCACTTCCAACGTGGATAGATTGGTGATGTTGCGATCTGGGAGGAACACGCTGCTCTCTGGAAGTTTTAAATTGGTTTATTACAAATGAGAGTGGTTAAAAGTTAAATGGTATGGAAATGAGAATGGTATTAAGTCGTGTTTTTTATGATAGAGGCAGGACTAGCTAAGCACAGTCGCCCTATTGTGGCTTTGGATATTCGGAAATCCATCAAACCGAAACGCGATTAAACTTCGTGGCTACTTAATGAAGTCACTAATGAGTGACGCGGACGGAATTTCGATATTTCCAGACTAAGTCCAATATGTTTCAAAAAAATTAATGATAGATGATATTCACGTTTATATGTCGCGATGTAAAGCCTCCAGACTATTTTGACTTAATCAGGAATTGTCTTGGCCATACACCGTTCTGATGCGTCATTACATGTCAGACAAATGTAAATACAGTAAGTAGCCTAACTGCAATTTTATGACTTGACTATTTATATTTTCATAGTCTTAAAATGTTAATCTACAAGAGCAAAATTGTTAGCATAATTCTTACACAAACAATAGTTCTAATTAATTTTTGTTTTAACACCACCCTGCCTCTAGCAGCCTCATACTATTCAAAGAAAAATATAAAACATCTATTATTTATTGGAGAACCTCGGGTACTTCTATCGATAAGGGTTTGAACCAAATAGCAGTGTATATTGTAACGACGAAATCGCCACATACACTAGCAGTAGGTCGTTCTAGGTGTTTCTAGTGTCCCAGCGCTTGGCTATTTGTATTAGAAAATACCTTTTACCCAACAATATAAAACTTGTTACCGGGAGGATGTGGCGGCGGCATGTGGTGATCAGGTGGGGAGGCACCCCCCGAGTCGCAGGCGGACTCACACGTCACTGAACTGGTTGATGATTGCATACCTATGGAGGGTATTCATGTTATCAGCAAAGTGTAAAAATTTGAGCTGTGAAAGTTAAATGTTTATGGTTAAAGAGTGTTTTTTAATTTATATATTTTCTAACCAAATACCCTAGTTTCTCTGTAAGAATCTGTGTTATGGAGTTAAAAACAACTAACTAGTGTGCTGATGTAGTGGATCCGGCCAGCCATGGGAGAAGACAGATTGGCGACCGTCTATTTGCGGCGGCGGCATTTCGGCGTAACGCTCCTGAGGAGGAAGAAAGATAAAATATTATTCAATGATTTACTTCAGCTAGAAGCGTTGAACCTTAATACGCGGTAAGAGAACTGAGGAATCCGTGGGAAATTTGAAAAAAAAAGGGGAAAATTATTTATTTGCGTACGCTGTAAGAACGGTTCAAGATATCACAAAAACCTCATTAAATGATCTAAAAAAATGTCTATATTTAAAGATTAACACGCAAGAACGACAGAACGCGGGTCGCGTCGTAGGTAACCGTTACAATTTATAAAGATGAGAAGGCTTCCCAAAACAAATTTTGATGCCCAAATTAACTATTCTACGGGGAAGAAGTCGGGGCCACAATTAGTTTATAATATGATTGGAACAACGTACCTGCCCCTTATAGAACTTGGAGTCCGACACATAGTGGATGCTAACTTCGTTGTTGAGCTGGGAGCCTGCCCTCAGCCTCTGGAAGTAGGGAAGTTGATCGCCATTGGGCATCGCCTCCTCCTTCTTGTCGTTGAATAGCGCGTTTCGGAACACGTTTCTGTCTTCCTGCCCGAAAGGAGTGTAGATGCTGTACTCTTGCTTCTCTTCTTCGCTGTAAAATCGAATGAGATATTTATATCACATATGGAAACCTAACAGTACATTAGGATAATTAACAAGTTAGATGTTTAAATAAAACACTTTAACGGTTTACCCCGTGACCACGGCTGCTGCAAAGCAACCGAAACTTCGGGCCGAAGTTAAAAATCATTTTCAAATAAGTTTAACTAATATATCGCGTTTTGAACCGTTAAAGTGTTTTAATTAAATGTGTACTACTTGCGTAAACTATAGACAGTATTTAAGTTAGATGTTATAAAGACAATTTGGCTTTTAAATTCAGAAATATAAAACACTTACAACATAATGCATTTCGCGAATAAAAGTGTTTTATTTTATTTATAATTTCATTTTAATGTGTTTACTACAGTCATGGTTCGTAAAAGTTTTATACGTAAAATCCATTTTTTTTACTTTGTAATGTAACTCACCGCTTCAAAGGTGTCCCAATCGGTTCCGGAATGGGGTTAGCAAAGAGCGAGTCATTGGGCCTCGTTCCAATGGGGTTGGGCGACACTTTAGGCTCGTAGAAATCTGGCGCCAGGAAGCTCCTCTGCTGGTTATCTTCGTTCGTCTTGAAGAGCGAGTAGCCTTCGTCGTTCTTTTGAGTGAAGGAGGCAAGATTTAGGAGACGGTTGGGGAATTCCTCTTTCTGTTCCACCTGGAATTCAAGGAATGGAATGAGTGTGATTTTTTTTACATTATGCGGGAACGAGACTTAACAAAAGTATTGTCTTCAGCTTTTCGTCCATGAAATCAAGTTGAATTCGATTGAATGATGGAAAAACCTACATTAAATACTGTCCGTAGTTTACGCGAGTAGTACAAAGTAAAAAAAAACACTTAACGGTTTAAATCGCGATATACATATTAGTTAAACTTATTTGAAAAATATTTTAACTACGGTCCCACGCTTAAATGCTTCCCCGTCACGACGTCTGCTACAAAGCATCATAAGTTTAACTAAAATATTTTGCGTTTTAAACCGTTTAAGTGTTTTTTTTAGAACCTGCTTTTTCAACCTCGGTTTTCATACACGTTAATCGTAAACCGAATAATCGGCTTCGGTCAAATTAGGCATATTGTGTTTCATATTAACTAACTTTTACTTACCCATCTAACCAAACGTTTTTGTTTCTTTGGGATTCAAACTTAGGGTATATACAAACTCGGCATAAACAAATAAAAAATAAAAATCACCACATATGTCGGCTGGTACGGCGCATTGTAGTACTGCGGCTGATAATTTTGCGGCTGCTGTTTTATGCCCATAAGCGTCTGCTGGTGCATCATTGACATGAGCGGGTTTCGAATCGTGTACATCCCGTTCGATGTGGGAGTGATCGTCGCTTGGCAAGGCGCTGGAGGCATCGGTATGGGGTCCGGAATCCGGATGTCTGGTTTCTTGGGGGCCGCATTGGATATTTGCACCGGGGGCAAATTGGGGTGGAACATCGGGTTCCGAAGAGTAACCATTTTGGGGGGATCCGGTTTTACTTCGGCGTTTTCGGTCGATTTCTTCGCCTTCTTCTTGGCTTTTTTTGATTTGGCTGGAGCAGGTGGTGGGGGTGGTTCGGGGACGATTATTGTTTTAGGTGGATCTGGAAAAGAAAAAACGCTTAAATTACACCAGCATTTATAATGAACCTTAAACCACTTAAGAATGTTAACAATTGTTTTTAATTGTCTGAAAACAACATTTTTTAAATTATATATCATTATTTTATGTCATTGCACCTTAGTTTACTTTTTAGGCCTTATGTAAATACCATGTCCAGCTATTTATACTAATCTAAGAGTAAAAAAATAATAAACTATATAATTTTTAACTTAACGTTTAAACTACCTTTACATCATTATTCATGTAACAAAGATTTAAATACCTGGCTGCGCTGTCGAGAACATCATCAAGGACGGTTCAGCGTTGATGACGGGAGGTGGGCGGGCGACAGGAGTGGGTGTGGCCGGAAGTTGATTGCATTTCCATAGCGGCTGTAATAATTATGGAAACAATTTCAAAACAGAGAACAGTATCATTAGAACATTTTATGTATTATAAATAAATATTATAGATAACACCAATTTAAGACTGTCTACTAGCTTACCAAAATTTTATCATTAAATTTTATCAACATTTGTAGAGCTGTTATCATTATAAACGAAGCTTTGTTTGTATGTATTTTGTGCGCCACTGAGGAACATATAAATTCGCTTTTCACTTTTGACAAACTTTTTCCTGATATTCAAATTTGTTTCAATCGCGTAATATACATACGACAGATTTGATCGGTGGAGTTTCCCTCTTTTCGTTCGGATGTACTCGGGTCAGCGTGATGCCAGGAGGTAGGCGTAGATCAGCGACCTGGAATTATTATACGATCACAAGCTGCGCCTCGCTGTAATACCTCCTATTCACAAAGTTGTTATCCTCCATAGTCCATAAGTAAATTGACTTGAATGAATAAAAATATCAATTATACCTGAACTCCGCAACTAAGCTGTTCCATGATGCTGCAAGACGCAGGTTTCTCAGACTCATTGGAGTTTCCAACCTGAATATATAATATACTTTAATTTAAAATTGTTGCAGACACAATGTTTTAACTCTCTGAGATTAAATAATGCGACAGTATTGTTTCCTTTCTTATTTTAGTTCCGGTAATATAAGATATAACATATACAATATACCTTCTTATTGTTATTGACAACTTCTATTGTAGTATCTGGTGTAATGTTGATAACTTGTTTCTGGTTCTGTTCCTTCTTCTTCTCCTTCTTGCTGTTGTTGGGCTGTTGCGTTTGTTGTTGTGTCTGTTGTTGTTGCGTTTTCGATTTTGCTGTTGGCGCTGAAATCAAATAATATAGTGTTATCAATACCATTATTAAAAGGTACCTAGTAAGTTATGACAATTATTTTATTAGTAAAACTACAATCTTTATTCAAAATGCAATGACGAAGTTGAACAAAGTTTTCATTCTTCTATGTATGTAGCATGTAGAATTTAACCAAAAAGCAGGATGCGTATAAGTATACATACCACTCTTGTCCGCTTTGACTTCCTTCTTCTCCTTCTCAGGTTTCTTAGTTTCCTTTTTCTCCTCCTTCTTTTTAACCTTCTCTTCTTTCTTATCCGTTTTCTTCTCCTTCTTGATATCCTGCTTTGCTTCCTGCTTTTGCTCTCGCCTCTCATTTTTCGTTTTTGCTTCTTGCTGTTTTTGCAGCTCTTGCTGTCGTTTTCTCTCTTCTTCTTCCGCCTGTAAACAAAGACTCTTAGAGTTACACATAGAACTAATATACAAAGTAAATTATAAGAAAAATATTTAAGTTTCGGTAGAATCAAACCGACGAAAAGGCGTGAAACATACCGTTGCACCACAAAATAGTGCTTTCAAAATTCCAGTACAGTATTAGGGTTTAAAGTGCAAAGTATATTTATTAGTATTGAGAAACCATTGCATATGAACTAAATAATAGCTTATTAAAATAATTTGAATTAACTTATTTATTATGAATAATCGTCCAGGTGATTTAATTTTCTTTCAAATAATTCATTTGACTTCTGAGAAAAGCTCTTTTCAACCCAATCCTAAGTTTGTCAATCTCCTATTACAACATAGACAAGCTTCATAGCTTCTTAGTATTGCCCGATCTCCCTCTTAATAGTTATTTCTAAATGAACAAATTCATCCTCAAAATCTAGTCCCAGCAGTGGGATTATACTCACTTGCTGTTTAGCCAACAACTTTCTCTGCTTCTTCGATAAGGGTGGCGGTTCTTCTCTCGCTTCTTGCTTTTGTTCATCTTTCTGCTTCTTCTCTTCCAACTTCGCTTGCGCCTGCGCTTCTTTTTGTTTCTTCTAAATAGGATAAAAAAACTTTTAATTAAACCTAGTCTTAACCTTACTCTGTTACTAACCGCCTTTGTCTCTATGTTATATTATTATTTTTATATATAATAAAGGTCCCGGGTTTCATTCTTACCTTTCCTTTAGCTAATTGGTTAATGTGTGCGATCGCTTGCTCCCAACTTTGTTTCTTGTCTGCCTGCTTCTTTGCTTGGTGCGCTTCCTCCAACATATCCATTACTGTAATGGAATGTTTAAACTTTACTGATTTAAATATTATAAATCGTACCCTATTAGAATGAAAATTAAATACTATGTGTAGTTAACGCGAGTAGTACAATTAAATAAACACTTTAACGGTATAAAACGCGAAATGTGTTAATTAAATTTATTAGAAAATTATTTTAACTACGGCCCTACGTTTCGGATGCTTTGCAGCAGCCGTGGTCATGGGAAGACTTATAAGTTTAAATAATTTATTTCGCGTTTTCAACCGCTTTCGTGTTTTATTCAAATAATAACACTTTGCTTATAAAAAGAGCCAGTCGTCACTATTATCAAAACTTTATACTATTTTTGTTGCCAGGAAATGAAAAAGGAAAAATACATTGGAATTGGATATGTAAAACTATAGGACAAAGCATTGTATATTATGTGTACAGAAAATTTTCAGGCAAGAAAACTAACTGCTCGATTGATTGAGTTCCGCCTGTATCGTAGCTCCGTTCCCCATCCGGGTCACGCGCACCATTCCACCATTATTACCAGAATCCGTCGACTGCGCATCGGATAGACCCACACCTGGAAATACCATTATCATATGAATAGCTATACTAATATACAAAGCTGAGAAGTTTGTTTGTTTGTATGTTTGACCACGCCAAGCTCAGGAACTACTGGTTCGAATTAAAAAATTCTTACAGAAACATTTTTAGGTCACTTCTGAAATTACGAGATATTGTTTATAACTTAAATTTGTTTAACAAACACCGTATTAGTTTTACTTAACTTACTTTAACTAGCTACTAACACTAGTTGTGTATCTACAATAGAAGAAAATAAGTTTATCTAATAAAAGCTGGGCCATATCTTGTACCGTTTTTGCACTGTACGCTTCCCATAACGGTAAAAAATTCCCCCGTTTCGTTCACATTCCCCGCTGTATCTTCGCTTCTATTAGTGACAGCGGGATATTTTAGAGCCTTCATCGATAAATGTTCTAACTAACACAAATATTTTTTCAATTCGAACCCTTAGTTCCTGAGATTAGCGCGTTCAAACAAATAAACAAACTCTGCAGCTTTATATATTAGTACAGATAATATCTTTGTTTCACCGTAAATACTCGACTAAAATAAGTAACAATCTTTTCTTGGGATTCGAACCGACAACCTCCCGCGCTTAGCAACTGGTTTATATTAACCACGGAGGCCGTACTGTACTGTAATCTAAAATAACAAATCATGCTTACACTGTAGTTGTTTCTCCATAAATTCCTTGAAAAACTTTTTGTCCTCCTCCATTTTCACTTTTATTAGTATGTGATTTTGCTGAAAAAAAAAGACAATTATTAATTAATCAATATGATATAGTACAAAACTCTAAGCAAGGTCACTCGAGTTAAATTATAGAAAAAAAAAAATGTATTTAGTTTGACAAAGGTGAATATTTTCCATACAGTTTCAAGAAGCATAGCTCCCACTGTCTAAGATAGGAAGAAGCTATTAAAATTAATATTTTTTACATGTTATTTTCGATTTTTAAGCTATTAAAATGGTAATTGAAAAAAAATCTCTTATGTTAGAAACAAAACTAGTCAAATGTATGTCGGAATGTCGCGCATAGGGTTCCGTATTATTGAATACGTGTGCACATTTCATCGGGTAGCAATTTAATTATTTTAAATGTATCTTTCAATTTATTGGCATCGAGCCACAACGAGAGCTTTTTGTTGGGAAGGCAGTCTTTAATATTTTTCTTTGTCTTTTGAGAACTCCGATAGAAGGCCGTGTGATCAATCCACATAATTTTGTTGACCATGTCACTTATTTCCCGTTTTCGCTTTTGCGGAGGATATATTATTATATAAGAGAGGGCATATTGTCAATTGTCTAGTTTTGGCTTTGACCCTTACCTCGTGATCTTTGATGCCCTGCATAGCCCTCGCCTCAGCCAGCTGCCGTTCTGCCTGCTCCAAGCGAGATCCAGTGTCGAAGTACTGCTTCATCACCGACTCCAACTCCTAGAATGATAGAGAAGGTAATGAGAACCTATTTTCCATCAGCGCGTAGTTCTTAGAAGTCATAGTTGGGTAAAAAAAAATCTTATATATCTGATTATTTTTTCGAGGTTAAACAGACTTCAAACTCTCAACGACTAGTACTGGGGCAAACAGACAGTTTGAAAGTCAAGTCAAGTCAAAAATCATTTATTCATGTAGGTAACTATGTACACTTATGAACGTCACAAAATAATTATAGAATCTAACTTTACATTTACTACCAGTTCTCAAATCAAGGGCGTAGAACGAACGAGAAGAACTGGCAATAAACTCGCCGTCACTCCTTTTATCGCCAAGTTTCATTTTACATTCTTGATTTACTTTTAGTACACAACATATTTTTCCTTGTAAGAGCGGGTTCCTCCACACCCCAAGCGTTTTTATCATTTAAATATTGATTAACATGATAATAACCCTTTTCAAGCAATTTTTGTTTTACATACGATTTAAACCTATTTATTGAGAGTGCTTGCACTTCGCTGGGGATTTTATTAAAGTATCGTATGCAGTTACTTTGAAAAGAACTACTACTTTTATGGAGCCTTTTGTTTGGTACACTTATTTTGTCCTTATTACGCGTATTGTACTGATGAAAGCTGCCGTTTGTTTTAAAAGTATCTACGTTTTTCCTCACATATAAAACATTTTCATAGATATATTGACTTGCCAACGTTAGGATATTCAATGCTTTAAACTTATTTCACGAAAACCAACTTAGGTATATGAGAAATATTTACAACATACCTTAGCAGTATTGTTAAATATAAAGGTCATTCTTTCCAGATCCTCAGACGCCTCTTTTAACTTTGTCTGCTGCGCAAGCGTCATCTTAAGTTTTTTACCTGAAATCAATATATATTATTGACAAATTCTTTGCCAATTGTTAAATGTATTAATAATTGTCGGTCTAGTGGTTAGGCCACTTGACTGCAGATTTAGAAGTCCCAAGTCTTGTATATTGGGTCTGTGGCGCAATGTAACTTCGGTATTAAAAGTTTTACCAAGAAAAATCTCTTATATCTAAGTTCAATCAATCAAAGCGACTCACACTTATTCTTGGCCTTCTGCATCTGTTGCAGCGAAGCCTTCGCTCTCCGCACGAGGATCGCACTCATCACGTGCGCACCCCTCTCTTCGTAACTCAGTTCACGCAATCGTTTGAGCTCCTCACGGAGAGACATGACATCACGGACCAGCCGGCTCTCCATCTACAAAACAAATGTTTATAATGAGTACTACCAGCCACTTCGTCCCGGGTAGAATAATTATTTTGGGGGACAAAATTTCTTTTTGCAAGCCTCCTCCCCATCTTCATAAACACCCACACACAGCTGTTACCCACGACATTCGTATCCCGTCGTACGCGTCCCGTCGATCGGGTCGTTGTTGCATGTTAATCTTAAAAGATTTTTAGATTAATTAAAGAGTAATGATCCTTCCATACATATTGTTTTGGTTTCTTGAATCGTTTTCACAGCGCGTGCAACGAAAACCCAGCAAGATGATTTTTCCCGTTTTTGTCACTTGTCCCGCTGTTTCTTCGCTCACAGAGCGATATTTTATAGCCTATAGCCATCCTCGATAAATGTTCTAACTAACACAAAAATAATTATTTAATTCTAATCAGTAAGCACTAAGATTAGCGCGTTCAAACAAACAAACTCTTCAGCTTTGTATATTAGTATATAGATAGCTGTTAACGACGACGTCGTTCGCGTCACGTCGTTCTTGCAAGTTCAAAGATAGACAAAATACTGTCGCATGGTTATCTTGAACCATTTTCGCAGCGCACACCACGGAATCTCTCAAAGATGAATAATGTTCCCCGTTTATTGTACATTTCCCACTGTTACTTCGCTCCTATTGGTCGCACCGTTTTATAGCCTACAGCAAATGCACTAACCAACACAAAAATATTTTATTGATTCGAACCAGTACTTCCTAAGATTAGCGCGTTCAAACAAACATACTCTTCAGCTTTATAATATTAGTGTAGATATTGCATTGCGTCGAGAGAAATGGGACATTTCAACACCAAGGTGCATAAATCGTAAGTGATAAAAATATATTTGAGTGCCTCCTTTTTCCTACCTTTTTAGCTTTCTGTCGTTGCTTCTTCGCCCTTTTCTTGCCTCTGTCGACATGCCGCGCCGGACCTTCGATGTACTGCAGCAAGGCGTCTAGATCACGGGGATCCTCGACCCGATTGGAACATGCGCCGCGACCGCGCCAACATGATCCACTGAAAAAGGGAGGCGACAATAACATAGATGTTTTCATTTCAAGTTATAAAACTTTACGCGCACGGGAACTCAATTGATTAGAGCCACAGCACGGAACGGACGTCGATTCAAGTCCCGTGCGTGACGTAATTATTTTTCAATATATAATCGATTTTTATTTTAAAAAGTAAAATAAAATTGAAGCCACGTAATGTGGGCTGTGGCTTACTCTTAAATGAATCTGAATTTAATTCCAAGTTGCAGTAAAGTAATATTTATTTTTTTTTAATTAATCATTTTTCACTATTTTATACATAAAGTAAAATATTAACTTTCGTAAAGTACTTTAACAATTAATAATAAATGGTTTTCTCACCTAGAACACTGTGAGGATGTAGAGAAAACACTTGTATCCCTGCTATTGATAGATAGCTGTTGTTGCGGCCTGCTCTGTCTCTGTTGCATTTGTTGTAAGTGTTGCTGTTGCAACATTTGTGCCTGTTGCTGTTGTTGCTGCATCTGTTGTTGTTGTAATTGTTGCTGGGCCTGTTGCTGTTGCGCTTGCTGCTGTTGGAGTATTTGTTGCTGTTGCTGTGGAGAAATACCGAATCTTAAGGTAATAAACAACAACTACTAATGCTATGGAAACTTATACAGGGTAAAAGTAGAAATTTCATGACAACAAGAGGACAAAGTCCTAGAATTACATAATGTTAAAGGGCTAATTATGGTAATCAAATGGAAAATCACACAAAATAATTATAAAATGTAAAGCCTATGTATACTTACCTGTTGTATTTGTTGTTGTCTAATTTGTTGCTGTTGTTGCGGCGTGAGGGTCGGTTTGTTGTGTATCGGTAGGTCGTATATCGGCTCAGGTTTCTTTTGTTGTTGCGGTTGTTGTTGTAGCATCTGTTGCAATTGTTGCCGCTGCTGTCGCTGTTGCTGTTGCATCTGTGCTTGTTGTTGCAGCATTGCTTGTTGCTGAAGCTGTTGAGCTTGTTGTTGTTGCTTCATTTGCTAACATATTTTAAGTAAGCATTAACATCGATTATATTACTAATCATATCGTTCGATCAGACAATTTTGATAGAACTGAGATACATCATAGCTTTAAGGGTACGACGAGATTGACGTTTCAAATCCCAGTATAAATGATTTCGTAATTTTTTTAACACAAAATTGGAATTAGAAAAAGCGAGATTATTCGATATGTGTGACGGATAAGCACTTTTCAGTCGCAATAAAATAATTATATTGCAATTTCGCGCTTATTTAATTTATTCAACTCGTATTACAATTTTCTTTGAAAATAGGCCACAAACACCTTACTAACCTGCCACCGTATCTGTTCCATCGCGTTGGCGTTAACTTTGCCTTCGGTATTGACGGCGACCTGTTGATTTTGTGCTACCGGATTTTGTACAGGCTGGAATAGATGAGTCAAGCTATTTACTACCAAAACCTCTCAAACTATTTTCCTGGTAACCTCATTTTTTTTTAACATTGTCTTTTAACTTACCTTGGGCTTGGATTCTGGCTTATCAGTAACAACCATTTTGGCCATCTGATCGGCCAATTGTTTCTGCTGTTTGTCGATTATTTGTTTTTTTTGTTGTGCTTGGGGGGTAAGATTAGGTGGTAACGTTTTTGGTAGAGCCTGAAAAAATATTATTAAATATTATTTTACATTAGATTTTAGCTTGAAAGAAATCTACAACACGGGCAGGACTTGAACCGCAATCACAGCGTTCCGTGTTGCTCTAATTGAGCTACCGAGCGTCATCGTCAAATTTTAAAACCTATTGAAACAAGCACCTCTCACGCAAATTTATAAAATATATAATGCGAAATCATGTGAAAATGTGAAAATTGGCGAACTTTTTAAATATTATCAATATCATATGTGATGTATGACTTTTACATTTTGATACATTGGAGTACGCAATAAGGAGTTAATTGCACAGGTTCCAAATACATTTTTCAGCGAGACAGCTTTATTAGTTAGAGCAGCAACAGCATCGCTCTAGATGCTGATTCAAGTTCTGTAATTTTTTTTCGATCGACACATCATTATGTACTTTGTTTACCATTACGTTCTTGTTTGTCATAAGAATTGTGACGTAATTTTTGTCACCCTCAAACCTTTAGTATGCTAAGTAACTCACCGGTGGCCTGTGGACGGGCTGTATTTTTGGGCGATCGGTTTCTGCTGTTGGCGATTGAGAGTCACCCTGAAATTGATTAATAATATTTATTGTATTGTTATTTCTTTTATAAAGAATAACCTCCCAGCACTGGGACTTCAATACCTGGCGAAGATACTCACATTTGATTTGCACTTCTGTTTCTTCTTATTGAGAATCGATCTTAACCTCTCTCGTGTCTCATTAAAATTCCTAGGTACGGGGGTCGTTAGTGGCGGCTGAAAAAGATTTTTAATTATCAACTAACATAGAAAAATTGCGAAATCTCAAAATTAAAATGTTCAAACTTATTGACACATTAATAAAAAAAATTAAGTATTATTGTTTGTATTTCCTTAATATTGACCCAGAATAATCTGGGCCCTTATAATTAAGCATCTTACCGCATGTCCAAAGACGGTACAATAACAGCATGAGCAGGGTTGGTCGGGATTCTCACTAGAGCAGCCACCAGGTTGGTTGGGCGCTGGTGGAGCGCCATGGCCGACTGAAATGTGTATATTTTTATTTAAAAAATGAGCTAAGGGTAAATTTTAGGTATATGTGATACCGGCAAAATAGAAACTTTGAAATGTTAAATTAATCCGAACTCTTATATCTTCCTCTTTGTACCACTTGGTATATATACCAACATAAGTATGTATAGTCTATGTTAGCCAATCAATTCGTTGTATAACATGAATCAAAGGAATTATTTACCTAGTATGAATATTGTATAAAACAAAATAATTACGAATTTAAAACGTTAAATCAGTTTTTAAAAAAATGATTATATAATTTTAGATAAACGCGTAACTTCGTAACGTGTTGGCTTTTCAGTTCAAAAGCGTTACCTTTACAAAAGTGGGGCTGGTGCACCCCGTTCTCGCAGGGCTTCTGCACCGGCTTCGCCTTCAGCATCGGCTTCCTCTCCCTCTTCTCCCTCTCACTCTTACACGATTCGCAGGTGCAGTCATTCGTGTATTTGCAATTGCTCTTCGGCGTGTCACACTCCTCACCATTTTTGATATTCCTAAATGCCACCGCGTTTAAAGTCTGCTTAGCATTACGCAGTGCCTGTGCGGAATATTTAGCCAGTAACTCTGGATTCTGCGACCCTATGACTGAGAGGTTCTTGTCCTCTTCCACTTTGAGGGTGTCTTCTATGTCCTCGTCTAGTAATCTTGCATCTATGCTCGAACATATCGATATAACATGCTTCTTATATGTCTCAGGTACAGGTAGACCTTGTGTGATATACGATTTGATTGTATAGAAGCTGTCTAGAAGCGATTTCTCTCCTTTAGACGTAAGTATCGCTTCGCACTTTGCGAGTAACGCTTCGTTTTTCGATTTCTTATCCTCTTTTTCTTTCGTTTCCGGTTTTTCGACTTTAACCGGTGTTGGAGTGACCTTTTTTACCGGTTTTACATTTGCTTTACCGATTATCTTACTGAGGCCTTTCGCTGCCAGGATCTCCGCCTCGCTGGGTTGGTTCTGGTTTTGTTTCGGGGTCGGTTTTGTTGTTTCCTGTTTCAGTTTTAAGAAGGAGTCCTTAATGCACTTTTCTACTTCTTCCAATTTGTATAACATCACTAGCCATTGGTCCCCACATAACGAGTTTTTGGGGATGCTTCTCATATAATTCCGATTCATCTCGCGCAATCGATTCATAAAATAATCTATCTTTATCTCGTTCGGTATCGTCGTAAAGTCCGGGACGTTGTCAACTTTTGTGACCGGCATACCTGTTAGTTCCTGTATCACGTTTGTTGCTGTTTCTGGATTGAGAAGTATCCATGCGGCCAGCTGTTGCGAGTCGGAACATCGCTTTATGACGTCATAGTATTTAAATTTCAGACTCTTGATAGATGTCTTCTTATCTTGCGACATTTTGGGCAGCTTCATGATGAGTAGATCGAAGGTGTTGCCAGCGGACGTACTGAGCAATTTCGTAATCTGTTTTAGAGACTCTTTCGATTGCATGCAGCCTTCCTCATCAGAATCTCTCTCTACCGTCTCCCTGGCTTCCTCTGCCTTCTCTATGAGCTTATCTATTTCCGGGCCGTGCTGCTTACACGTCATATCCTGTATGTGCGAATAGAACTTTTCCAGCATTCCCTCGACTTCGTTCTGCAGGAATTCAACCGGTATCGTCTTAACTTTCGTCGCAACAAACTCCTTCCAGAAGGTAAACTTGGAACGCATCACACCTTTCAACTCCTCCATAGATAACGCGTCTTTAACGGCCTTTTCGAATAATGTCGCGGCTTTAAGAAACGATTCGGAATTTACATTTTTCGATATCGTTATATCTTTATCTTCTAAACACTTAGCTAGAACGGGACTCTTGTTCACATAGTCTATAACTTTGGACACAGCTTCCTCTTTGCCGCTATCGCTATCTCCTACAAAATCGTCTTCTTCGCTCCACACTCTAGGCGTTATATCTTTATCTTCTACACACATAGCTAGAACGGGAATCTTTTTTACATAATCTATAACTTTGGACACATCTTCCTCCTTACCGCTATTTCCCTCAAAATCATCTTCATCGCTCCACACTCTAGGCTTATTTTTACGTTTGGCAGTGTTTTTAGTCACTTTAACCGCGTCGCGTTTGCTTAATTTTAATTCCCTAATTTGTTTAAGCGTCTCCGGTGTCAGTTGCGCGTCTGTATTCACTTCCGGGAGGCTATTCATGATTGAGGCGAATTCGGGTAGCTCGAAATTGGCGTTGGCGAATTCAGACAGCTTGGAAGCGATTTCCGGCATATTGGCTAGTATTTGCGGCATATTCTCTACAATTTCAGTCAACTTGTTACCGTTCGTAACATATAGATGTAGATCATCTGCTTCAATCTTTTCCAGCAACTCTGGCGAGCTCTTCTCTAGATTCATCATAACTTCTACAATCTGCTCTAGCGATAACGGATCTTCTTCTTTGTCTTTCTCACTCTCTGCACTGTTGTAAGTATTGATAATATTCTGGCACTCCTCCATTGCCTTTTTTATTTCTAGCCCGAACGTCACATATTTAAACACATTCGAATCTTTGTCTATATCCTTGTCTTCTTTAAGAAACTGACTAACAGGGAGTATTCTGTTCTTCTGGTATACCGGCATTGAATCTGACGTAGTAGGTGACATCTCCTGTAGCGGGGGACTGACAGAGTCGGGGTATTTTTCCTGGAGGTTATTATCTAGAGTGTGAAGGGCGAAATTTGCGAATTTAGCTAGACAATCCTTCATTTCCTTGCATAATTCCGCGTCCTTTTCACCAACTATGGTATCGGTGTCACTTACGTCCTTCTCTAATGGGAACGCGTCGGGCGGTTCTACTTCTGTTTTGAGATTATCATCTATTTCCTTATAAGGAGATCGATCCACGTGAGATTTACTTTTGAGAAGTTGGAGTATTTTTTGTGATTTGCTGATGGGCGGGACGGATTTTAGCTTTCGCTTGGGCGCGACAAGGCGTGGCAGTTTTGAGCTAATGGCGCGAAGTTTGCGTTTTGGCAGATCGTCTATAAGTGTTACTGTGCTGTCGGGGAGGCTGAAACAAAAGGATCCGATTAGTATAACCCCCAAATAGAGACCATAGAAAACTCTTACTGGGACTATATGGCTAATTTATATTCAGTTAAAGTATTTTCAATGATAAACGTTACGAATGCAGATATAGAGCGATGTAAGATGGAAAAAAATTAACGACACGACAGGAGTTGAACCGATATCCACAGCGTACCGGGCAGTTACTATAACCCATTTCAATCTCAAGTCGATTTTTAATGTACATAATGCCATCGTGTGTAAAAATATTTAAGTTCTCGAAAAAATATATGGTAAGTATTTGTATACTTACCATATATTTCTTCATTAGGTAACTGCACGTTCATAAGGAAAAATAAATCCGAGAGTTTATTACTCTATTAAGAATACTTCGATGTAGTGACTACGTATTAAAATAACAAGGTAAAATTTGATTTATTTATTTTCCTCCTTACCTTTCTCTTTCCTGACGCAACTGATCTTCTAACCACATGCGCAAGCGGTGATAGTACAATTGCTGATCGCGCATATGCATCACTTTACGACGAACCTAAATATATATTTTTTTAATAATTATAAAAATAACACTTTCGATTCCATCGAAAAATCAAGAAATTCATTATATATCGCTTATTTTAAAAATGTTTGATTTTACCTCCTTAAACCTTTGCAAATGATATTCCGGACATAGGCTAGTAGGCGGCAGTCGTGGGGGTTCGGTGGGCGGAGACCCGGGCGTCGGAGGGGGCGGGGCGATTGTGCCCACCAGCGCCGTGCACACCTATAAACAACAATTAAATACCTTTAATATACAAGTAGCTACATAAATAAATGCTGTAATACTTAAAGTATATAGATTATGATTGTTTATGCTAACTTTAAAAAACCGATGTTGTTTGTTATATGTTTATTGTATCTTTATGAATAGTACTCATTTGAATAAAGCACTTATAACGGTTCTAAACGCGAAAATATGTATTTGATTAATGCGTGTTATGCTATTAAGTGATATTTACCGTTGACAATTTCTTCTGTCGCCTATAGACCTGAAGCTGCCGCCTATGCACTTCAGGCAGCCGTCGGTACATCGCCATCAATTTACGATCCACCTCAGACAAGCCTATGTCTACGCGTTTCCTAAACAAAAATAATAATAAAAAAACCTTTTCTTGTGAAATCGCGGGATCTACACAAACAAAAAAGTGTACTTCATTTCAATAAATAGTTATAATAAAATTTGGAGTGATTCTTGGATGAACTTGTATGACTGTCAATCATATTTAAATTTTCAAAGAAAAGAGTTAAAGTACCCTGACAGAACCATAAGATGGCTGAGACTAAATTTGTGAAAGTTCTCACCTAGCGTCAGGCGCGTCCTTCCCCGTGCCTGGCCAATCGTCACAATGCTTCAGCACTCGGTCCATCAGCCTTTCAATAGACGCAATAGACCGCATCAAGTGTCGCACTGTCCGGCACAGCTCGCCGGCGCCTTCGCCCCCGGCGCCTCCGCCCTCCACCGCGCACGCTGCTAGGACTAGCAGCTCGGAAGCAGAGTCCAGGCTGGAGCCCGATAGACTGGATATTGAACGCTCTGAACGGACGGAGGTTAGGGAGTTGTCGGATTCCGTTACTAAAAAATATATAGGGTTGTTACATTCAAAGTATACTAAACGTGACACCTGAAAAAAAAGAGAGAGAATTTGGCCTAAGTCTAGTCGCAGCTTAGCTAAGCTAGCTTAAATGATCACTGTAGTGTACCTTATAGATTATAAAGCGAAAGTATATATATAGTTCGATTGACTATCTTTGGATATTCGAAAATACATAGAATGAAACGGAAACGCCCGGAAGTGACCGGGACCGAATTTTGATATTCCTACCACCCATTATTAAACAAAGACCACACTTTGAAATCACTGTGATTTGCAAAAGGTTAGTAGTTCATACTCATATAACTCAGTGTCATCACAAAAAAAAAATCTTTATACATTATAAATGTCAGAACGATTTGTTAATTTCTTCCATACTTACAGTCATCTAGGTCATTACTATTTGAGTCGCTTAGATCCATGTCCATATTGGCTTTCACCATTTCCAACTGCTGTTCCATGCTATCGGGAGGTCTAGAAGATAGCCGAAAATTTCTTTATTAGTATTGAATGATGTGTGATGACTAGAGATAAGCCCACAATATGGTCTGGTTTTTATTAATTAAGCTAAGAATACTTACTTGGCTCCAGTTCCTACTCCCTGCTGCAATTCCCTACCCGCCGTTTCGAGCTTCAAATCATTTAGAGGCTGAAATAAAAAGAAAGCTATAATTAAAAGATACCAAAGCACCTTTCGGGAGGCTTTAGTCGAGTTATATGAACTAAAAGTAACTGTTTTAACATTATTTCAAAGTTTAGTTTAGCAATAATTTAAAATTAAGTATGTATACTGTCTATAGTTTACGCGAGTAGTACTCATTTACGTGATCACGGCTGCTGCAAAGCATCCAAAACGTCGAGCAGAAGATATATATCGCGTTTTGAACCGTTAAAGTGTTTTATTTAAATAAGTATGTATTTTAAATAGAGATTAAACGAAAATTCTATATACACTATTGACACTTTTTCTCACTTTTATTTTTCATAAATAATATTAATTCAAATCACAGATCGATAAACTAATTTCCAAAGATTAAAAAATATATTAATATTAACCAAAGAGATGTAACATTATTTTAGTACAAAAACCAAAATAAAAAATACACTATAGTTTCAAAAGTCCAATATTTCACTCACCTTTTCATCGGGATCATCTTTGCCGTTATACTTGTTAACGGCGTGCATCATGCCGAAGAATGAAATCCTGAAAAGTGTTTGCATTACTAATATTATAACTAAAGAGTGTGGTCCGGCGATCATCACTACAATTTTAAAGAAAGTTCAATCCATTGTAAGGACCAAGTTGGATTTAGCTAATATGGCTTTAGACCAGGGGTGAGTAACCAATTTTTGTTACTCTGTGCACGCGCACAAAGCACGGGCGTTGTGCGTGGAACAGTTATCGTTATATCATTGGGCACCCTTTGTCAATTATAGCTGTAAGCCATGACGTCGTCTGCGTGACGTCGATCTTGCAAATTAATCTTAAAAGATAGATATATATTGACGTCTCATTCTTCTATACATGTTTTTTTGCAGCGTGATGTTTTACTGCCTAAAGCCGTCGTCGATAAATGGTCCAAATGGCCCAAAAACATTTATTCACTTCGAACCAGCAGTTCTCGCGATTAGCGCGTTCAAGCAAACCCTTCATAACATTTGAATAGATTGAAGAGTAATAAATACCTAAGCAGCTGTTTCCTCTGTTGCGCGCAAACTATCCTCGGCGAGAGACAGTCGCACCGATGTTTGTACTCCGCCCATGCGCTCACTGTGAATAACCTCATCATTATAGGTTCAAATAACATACCAAAATACAATACCAGTCATTCTTGTTTGGTAGATTTTATTTATCATCTTATTATTGAGCAAATATTATAATTATTCTGCCCGAGGAGAACAGACTTGGTGGAAACTCAAATGCCTGAAGCATATAACATTTAAACATAATGCTCTACTGGCCTATTTTAGCTTTGGACAAATTAAACTACACCCTTTTTATCGGCCATTTTAAACTTTAACGGTGTCTGGACTTGGTATTCCTACTACCCACCTAATATCTAAAGCCAAAATAGATCGACGGCGAATCTTGTGTAGATGTTATATGGCTGGGGTAAATAAAAATAAAAAATGCGAAACGTATTACCTAACTTATTTACAAACAATTTTAAATACGTTTCGAATGCTCTGTGAAAAATAAGTTTCAACTCTGAGTAAAAAACTGCAGACTTAAACATCAAAATCTATAACGCAATACACTTACGGTCGGTGGGTGCAGTCCTAGCAGCCATATCAGCCAATCGGTGAGCCGTGTTGTTCCTGTGATGGGCGGCAAGACACCGTGCAAGCCTCCGCCGTGCTGCCGTCATCCAAGACCACTGCTCGGGGGCGGAGCCTTCAGGCGGGATTAATTCCACCTGAAATCGAGTGGATAGTGTGTTAAGTATATAAAGGCTTCAGAACCGAGCCAAATGTGTTTCACATAGGTATGTTACTATAGGTTATTGTGTCTATTAATTTCATATTACGGACAATTGTATACACAAATTTGTATCTACGGCGTGACTAATCTACTTCTTTCCACAACACCACTTAGTTTTTAGTATCAACAGTATATAAGTTCTAAAAATAAGGAAGAAGAATGAGTGCAGTAGTAGTTAAATACAGTTCTTAAACGTAGTGGAAACTAAAGTTTCGGTCAGGCAGGGCACAGAAGCATGACCAACTACTGGCCTATATTAAGTTGATAAGCGAAACAGACAGATAACCGTAGAGCCCCGAGATAAGAAACCCTACTAAGCGTAAAATAAATAAATTTTACGAAAACCACAATAGGTCAGAAAAAGGAACTCAAAAATGTTCTTAGAAAGAGAAAAACCTGAGCCTAGAAACGTTACTGTAAACTTTTAAAACTATCTTCAGTTAATAAACGCTAAAAAAAATCGTACCTTGAAAGTTATAGTAGAGGCCGCCTTGAAGTTTTCTAATATTTTGAAGAACCTTTCAACCGCATATCTGGAAGATAAAACTTGTTAGACATTGATACTTGACGTTGTTGTTGCATTACCCACCAAGGGTTGTATTCTCACTGAGATTATTTACACAACAGTCGCAGAAGTTACAGGAGAGTGTTCTAACACAGTCGAAGTAATATATGTCCCGTGACGTATAGGGGAAAGAAAAATGAAAATCTCGTTTCAACACTTACTGTTTCTCGAAAGGTCGATAGTAAGAGCGACAAAGACAGACTCTGTTCACAAACTGTTCAGCCGTCTCGTTCTGCTGCGCGAGCCGCGTTAAGTGTTGATGGATTATTTCCGCACCTACATTAAAAGGAATTACTATAAATTTAAAATTATAATGCCACTTCGTTAAGGACATGTATTATATGCAGTTTACAAAAGTTGTACACATTTTAATAAAACAATTTTAACGATTCAAAACGCGAAATATATTTAGCTTATTGCCAATTTAGTTTCAAATGCTTTGCAGCAGCCGAGATCTCGGAGTGTATAAGATGGAAGATTTTCCTAATGTCAAAGTAAAAAAAAAGTGGCTTATTACTTTACCCTAAGACATGCTGATGTTCTGTGTTTTACAGAGAAAGGTAATGGAGGGAAAATGTTTTACCTTCATCGGGCACTTTGATCCGCTGCAGATGCCAATGCGCAGGAGTGAGTTCGGAGCAATTCAGACAGAGCATCTTCACGAGCGCCCCTGCCACGCCGCTAGTGCTGCTTACTGAAAAAGGTGCACTTAAATCAAACTGCAAATTATGCGAGATGAAGCAAGACTTAGGTGTTGTGCTCTACTGAGTCCTACACCTCATTGTTAAATTTTTTTCAACTTATTGATACGTGCACCTTCAGCGCAATGTAATTTCAGCCTTAACACTTGCATATGAATAAGGTTCAACGTCTTATGCTCTGCAGCTTTATGATATTTGCAAATATATTTAAAGACTGCATGCCATACCTTTAAAATAAAATGTGATAAGAACTGTATTTCGTCTTTGACACTTGTGTTTCTTTTAGATATAATGTATTTATGGCTTGTCTAAGTTATACGATCGAATAAAACTAAATAAATGAGACTTTATTTTTACAATCAAAGGCAAATGGACAAGTGGATCACCTGACGGAAAATGATTGTCGTCTCTCGTGGAAAACTAAGGTTCTGTTGTCGGCCTTTTACAAAGTAGTTTGCATTTACTCGTCGTTGTAGGGACACTACGAGGAAGAGAATTGAACGAATCAAGTAATTTCACTCACCATGCGCCAACTCTCTGACGATGTCGATCAGCGAGTGTCGTAGGGCCGCGACGTTGTTAGCCGCGCTCAGACACAGCCGACAGTGGCAGCCGAAGCGGGCGCGGTACGACCACGACGACTTGACCATTTCGACGCTCCTGTAATGCCATTGGTTGTAAAGCAGGAAACGAAGCTAACAAAACAATTTACTATATATAACAAAACTACTGCGATTAAGAAAACGCAACTTTGATTAAAACATTTAACGGTTCAAAACGCAAAATATAGCCAGCGCCATTTGTTGCTTGCAATTGATATTGGAAGAATTAATTAAATGTGTACAACTCGCGGTAAACTACAGATGATAGTAAACTCGTATGTTTGAATCTATTATAATACTCGCAGTTTCTGCGAGACAATACAAAAAATTAAATTAAGAGACGTTACATAATATTATGTTTAAACTATTAAAAGTGTAGTAATATATTTAAATGTGTATACGCGTAACTTACAAACAATACTCAGTGACATTTTCATTTCTTTTTTCTAAATAATACTTACATGTTAGTGCCTATTAGGGTATACATGAGCGCGCTGATCTCGCACCAGGAGTGGTAAACGCCCAGCAACCATTCCTCCACCGGCTTGAAAACCCTGGACTGCGCGTTGGCATCAGCCTGTTCCGTTTCTATTTAAATATAGTAACATGTGAGTGCTCATACGGTACTTTTCGCATAATAGTTAACATAATCATTGGACGTTTATAAAAACATAGATAGAACATAAGAGCGCACAAAAGATTAAGAATCATGGAAAATCCATATGTATAGTGTATTTTTTCTAACTTGGCATTTTTGGTAAACAAACACATAATTTACATGAAATCATGATTATCTCAGGAGGATGACATTGATTACCACTAAACACTCCGAGACACTAGTATATATATTAAACTAAGGAACCCCCCAAATTCACTTGGTACAAAACCATAAATTATGTTAAAATAAAAAAATAACCCTAAAAATGAAGAAACGTATGGGATGGGGTGTAAGCAAAGTCAACGACAATAGAGGGTAAGTCCCACTCGTGCTCGTGCATATTTTGCCAAGTTAGAAAAAACACTATGCAAGTTATACTGTCATCATTGGAGGCAACTATCGACTCATGTTGGTTTAGTAAAACCATACAATAGTACAACAAAAGTGAAAGAGAAAGAAGACAAACATGGGCTTGTCTGTCCTGTCGGGAGTCTCTGTCATCTGTTTTCTGAATTTGGAAGGTGACATATAACATCTAAGCGAGATGGGGTGGGGCGCATCGTACCCACGATTTGAATGCCAAAATACGCACCACAAACGAAATGCAGGAGCGCCGCTTCATCCTCAGGTGTGACCACCGGCTCTTCGCAATCAAACATGTTTTCTGTTAACCTGCAATTTAACATCTTATATAAGACAAAAATATATTTTCTTGTGCGACACGGTAAAAATTTAGTGTCAGTATTTTTTTAACAAAACACTTTAACTGTTTAAAAAGCGATATATATTAGTTCAACTTATTTGGAAATTATTTTAACTACGGCCCGACGTTTCGGATGCTTTGCAGCAGGAAAATATGTGATAATTAAAAATGAAGACAAAGACCAAATATTATTATCCCGGGAGTTTTCTGTTATTACATCAAAATTTTATCACATTGAAGCTACCAATATTGATTATGATTAACTTAACTCTATTTAACAACGGGTCACATAGTATATATCCCAAACACACTATATATAACGCATTTATGTGTAAAAGTATGTGTGAAAGCCCGTTTCCCCCTCGTGAGGCAAAGGGCGAACACATTTCTGTGTCCGTTTCACTGATCCGTTCTTTTCACGGGCTACTTGCCCGATCGTTGATCAGACTTCTGTGCTCTGCCCGACCGAAACAATTTTATGTTTCCCTTCGAACGCAGGACCTCTCGCGCTTAAGGCGATGCTAGGCAATACGTTTAACCATTTGACTACAGAGGCGGTCAACGCAGTTATGTACTAAGGTATAATTATAGTTTTAAACATGTTTACTCAGGGTAGTGGTTGACAAACTTACAAATCTGGTTGCGAGTCCAGTACATCATCTTCTAGAGGAAGATCATCACGGACACTCTCTTCTGCCGACGCAAGCAACTAAAGAAAAATTAAGTGTACATTATTTATACTAATAGTTAATTTTATATCTTAAAAGTAAATGGTGTCTTTTTCTTTCTCTACTTTAATATTTGTTCTTAAATTATCTTAGCTTTCACAAACCTGCAGGATATCCTCATGCCTTATGAGAAAGTGGTCAGGTTCGGAAGGTGGCTCCGCGCTCAGCAGCGGTAGCAGGAACTGACCCATCGCTGGCGGTTCTACCTGCTGGAAATCATTAATTATATTGAATATAGGCTGCTTGAGGCAGAGTGGCCTAATAACAAAAAAATATGATTTTCAATAGGGAAAATAAAAACGCGCAATTAAATTAGGCGAGAATGAATTTGTGTAAGAATTAAGTTAACAATTTTTGGTCACTGCTCTTGTAGATTCACACATTTGTGTGTGAAATCCCGTTTCCCCTTCATGGGGCATGGGGCGAACACATTTGTGTCCGTTTCACTGATCCGTTGTTTAACAGGCAAGTAGTTGATCAGACTTCTGTGCCTTGCCTGACCAAAACAATTTTTTTGTTTCCCTGCGATTCAAACCCAGTACCTCTCGCGCTTAATGCAATGCTAGGCAATACGTTTAACCATTTGGCTACAGAGGCGGTCATTGATTAAGATTAACATATTTAGAGTATAAAAAAGTCATAAAATTGCAGCTTACTCTGTCCTCAGCGGCCTCATATAATAATTAAGAAAGAGAGAAATATATATTCGTTGGGACGAGCCGAAACTGTGGCATGCGGTACTTCTTTTTATTAAGACTTTAGTAAGCTAGATAGATGTAGTATTTTATAAGCTGGTAATATTAAATACACACACAATTTATGTGTCAACAACAGGTACTACAAAGAGAAAGAAAGAAGAAAATAATATACGAAACAAAGTAACAGAAAGCATGACAAAAGTGCATATGGCGACTAGTCTTCGAGAGAAGGCTTTGTTTAGGATTTTTTCCCCGAATAAACAACAAAGATGGCGCTAGCGTAGCAGATTTGAAAATAGGGACTCATTCCATCTTCGGAGTTAAAAGAAATTAACTAATATATTGCGTGTTTCAAACAGTTAAAATATTTTATTTAAAATAATTCTTTATAAAGAACAAGAGCATAAACTGGTGGGCGTCAGATTAAATAACCCAAAATGAATTCTCAGGAGGTTAGGTTAAAAGTTTCTCCTATGAACTTGTTTGTATAGTACCTCAATAATATCATGTGTTAAAGAAATTACTTACAGAACCCTTGTCCTGGTATCCCGGGCAAATGTCGTCGACACCAGCGCCGTCCTTGTCAGATGAGGCAGCTGAAAGAGACAAAACATAAACTTAATTGAAATAAAAAATTACATGTGTGTACAATTTTGTACAGAAATATTTCATACACTACATAATATATGCAACTACATCTTGTCTGAATATTACTTGTTTCTAAAGCTTAAACATGCACTAGATTAACGTACATGAGTCATCGAGCTCAGTCCATTGGTCATCTGAATCTGAGTCGGCCCCAACATCGGACGCATCAGACACGACTTCGATTCGACGCACGCGCATGGACGCAGCACGCCGCGCCGCTATACTGCGCCGGCGACACATCTGCGAATAAAAGAAATATAATGAATAATAGATCAAAGACTTTCTAAAACCGTAATACATGTAATATGGTATATTTTTTTCGAGTTTAAAATATAAGGCTGCATTAATCAATTTTTAATAAAGAATTCAATCTAACTTATCCACCTGACTTGTCAAATGTTTTACTGAATACTATGTTACGCTAACATATTGGTTGGGCAGGGCACACAGGTGTGATACTGTGTGTAATTAAGCCTATACTAAAATTAGCCAGTGAAACAGAGATTAAAATGTTTTCAACACTCCCATACAATACAGAGAAAAACGGGATTTTCTTTGGAAAAACCTATTGGCATGACTGCAACTGCAAAAATAATATAAGCCTCTCACTTCACCATAGTCGAGTTAAAAAGGTTGAGGTAATCTGGTGAGAGGGCTTCCTCACTTACAAAAAAACAAAAAAAAAAAAATGGTACTTTATGGTTTGATAAATGGTTCAAGTAAAACTTAATTAACACATTAAAACTTCTGATTGAAATTTACCTCCTTTCCCTTTGCAATAGGGCGTCGCCGCTGCGTCCTTTGTGGCCTCGAAGTGCGCCTGGCCTTCGCTCCGCGCGCGCCGGACCATGATGATGAAGAGGAAGAACCACTGGCGGAGCCCCTATGGCCAATCTGAAAAGTTTACATATAAAGCTTATATTCAGGTGCTAATGCATGAAGTTTAACACTAAGTAAGCTTTCTTTATGTAATCATTTATATATAACTAAAATATATATATATATATATATATATATATATATGTATATATTTCTGGCTTGAGTAACTATGACAAATCAAATAAATATTATACAACAATGTCTCGTCCTAAAACTGTGATTAAAATAAATAATTTCATAATTTGAAGAAATGTATATGATAAGAAAATACATCTCTATTATATTAGATTGAGATGTATTTTCTTAATTGATGTATAGATAAAAACTCTTTAAACTTTGAAGATTGTATAACATTGATGTTTTAAAAACCAGTCAGTTATACATTGTAGTACTAATTCACAAACTCAATTACAATTCTTGCTTTTCGAATGGCTTTTTTCTAGTACTTTATTTATTGAAATAAAACACTTTAACGGTTTTAAACCCGATAATTATTAGTTAAACATATTTGAAAATAATTGTTTTATTTAAATGCATACTATTCACATAAGCTAACACAGCATATTTTATTTTTAATTATTTTTTTGTAGACAACTTTATTTGGTTATAAAAACTAGTCTCAAATAATATTGGTGCATATATATATAAAAACCATAATAAGTTCTAAGGAATAATAAAGTATCACAAAATTTATTAATGTTTCAGTTTAAGCTTCAAACATGGTGCAAACAAGCAACAGGTGTGTTCAGACACATTGATCTATCTCTATCAATATCTAACTTATCTACTGCCATATACATGCCCAATAAAAATGTATGTACTATTTTCTGCATTTGAGGATTTCTGCTCAGGCATCCCTATTTGATCATTCATAACCAATTCATGAAGTTAATACAAAGAATGTCTACTAAAGACCAACAAAGTTGGTAAGTTCAATTACTCACATTAAGGTTAGGATCGGTAATTGAGAAAATATATAATATATGTATCACTGTGTAAGCAAGTTATTACTAGTTGAATATTCTCTACGTGGGACATGGGACAAATACTTTTTTGTGACCTTTTCACTGATTGGCCAGTAATTGACCAGACTTCTGTGCCCTGCTCGACAGACACAATCTACTGTTTCTCCAAAACCTCTTGCGCTTAACACAATGCTAGGCAAAATGTTAAACCATTTAGCTACACAGGTAAGTCAGGTCCCCCCCAGAAGGAAATAAATGAAATAGGCTATCTAAATTACTGTATTCCAAAAAACAAATATCTTAATGTGAACATATACAACTTTCTCTCTCGATCAAGGGCATTATAATTATATTTTGTAAATATTTCTTTAATAAACAAAAATTATTACCTACAATATTTATACTGTTTTATTTTATTAAATTGATATGTTAAATAACAACAGGTATGTGTACAACTTTTTATAATTATTAATTACCATGTTTATATAAAAGCTACATTCTACTTTTGGAATAGGTTCTGCAGATATGAGTCCTGCGCAAGTCGTTTCTTTTTTTCAATTTGATTTAGATTTTTAACTTTGGTATATATGAATTGAGCTAATAAAAACCAGACTAAAATATGCATCACATAATAACTAAATAAATGCAAAGAATTTCTTATATTAATATGCACTTATTGATTACGCATGTCACTTATGTACCAAAAGCCCAAAAAATATATAATTGAGGTAATAAACTAAGCTTTACATTTTGTAAAAATTGTTTACAGAACACATTATTGGAGTAAAACAGCTAGATATCCTACATCTATAAAAAGCATTATTGTTCTTATACTGTACTTATATTACTTAGTTTTGATTAGTCCAATCATTATAAATAAGAGACTTTTCATTTATAAAATGGAAGTCAAAGGTATAATCTCGTTAAAAAACTTTCGCCTAAAATACAAGTGGGGGAGTTTTGATAATTTAACGTTTCATATAAGAATGTGACTATTTCTAATGTGTTATGTATGAATAAAAGTTTACTTACAGTCATCTCGAACAGTGTTGCAAACTCTTGCGGTGGATCGTCAGCTAAGCCAGCAAGTAGGCCTAATTCAGCACGTAACCCAGCCAGCTCAGCGCCGATGCGGTCCGCGCGGTCTGCATCTCCCAATTCATCTTTCAAGATATCACCTATTTCATCAGACACCGCGGCCACAGCAGATGCAATTTCATCAGGCATCTTCCCGGTCTCCATGTCGCTTGAACATTTCGACATGGGAAACATCATTTGCAAACAAAAATTGTCACGTTAAACGCTAAAAGATACATCTATAGTCCAAGAACTTTGAGCGTAATCACAGTGGCTTTTCAATAATGCGCTGTAAGATGCGAAAAACCATTTTCTTCCGCACACCGATGGATCCCGAAGATTTTGACAATACCAATATGGCGACGGTATTTTTAGGAATTTTTGATCAGCCGCAGACGGATAGAGCATCAAATTTCATTATGGCAACCTTGTGTGTTTAAAAATGGTTGTGAATTTATAAAAAAATCAGTGTTACGTAAAAAACTTCCTTCCATGTTTTGATCTAACCAATTTAATAAAATCACATAAGTGTAACTAAGATCATTATTACATATTGTATTGCTCTTAAAGATACCTTTTTGAATGAAAGCTTTGAAGTATTTTTAGTTAACTGACAACATTTTCAACTTGATAATATATCAATGTCGATTAACTGACGACTGACATTAGGATAGCCGAATTTTGACAATTAACAATAATAATTGCCGTTTCGCCGCCTGCGCGTTGTTGTTCGCGTTCTCAACTCTAAATAAATTTCTTATCACAAAAATAACGAATGCAGGTAAAATGCCGCAATGCGTTCGCGCGCTATTTTCCTCATATGAAATAGGAATAATTTAATTAACAATATCCTCAATGTAACGACACGGTTAGTGGTCTTTTACTTTTGAGTTGGTGACTTCAAAATTACCTATCGTGTTACGTGCGGTGTTAGTTTTTTTACTTTATAATGGCAGTACAAAATAAGGTATTGTACGCGTTTCGCGGTTGGATAGCATTCGTTGCCTTCATGGATTTAGGCACTGCCGGCCGTTCTTATATTGAGAAGAGGTCTTTTTTAAGTCACAATGGTGAAAATGATGCATTAGATGGTAAGATAATTATTCACATTTAAGATTACTCTTACTTCGAAATTAATTATTGTGTGTTTTTAGTTTTAAGAGACCCCTTAAATTAAATTTCTTCATTATTATATATATTTTCATGTTATTTGTTCTTATGCTTTACAACATTCAACTTTCACAGGTTGTTTATAATTATAATGCTTAAATATATGTAGACATTAGTTGTAATTCAAACGATGGTATGGTACTTTTAATGTCAAAAATATATTTTAAGAGAGAACATGGATTTAAAAATGGGCATAGAGTAGTTTTGTCAATAAGTACAAATAAAGTCAATTAGTGAAACAGACCGTTTTGTCTGACCTCAATTTAGAGCATAATCCATATGTTTCAGACACAATATCGAGAATGCTTGGAATGTTTTCTGTGTTAAAGGCCTTGGCACTCATCCACTGTACCCTGTACATACATTATCGGCCGTAAGTATATTTCAATTATTTTAATGAAATAACTACTTAAAACAATTTGAAGGTGTATACAACTTAAGGAAATTAGTAATTCACTAGGAAATTTACTAGTAGTAATTTATATCGATTATACTGAGTTATCCAACCTTCTGTCTCCCCTACAAATGTTTTGGTTTCATCTTTTATTCTTTGCAGTTGATTATTTGATTGTTAGCCTTGATATTTAGTACAGGAAGTAGTTAGTAGAGTACAGGAATGCTTGTTTCTTTACTTTCTTTGTACTTGGGCATAAGGGGTTGTTGATTACTCTCATCATTGTTATATTATTATTACATATTATAATGACGAGACAATTGTCAGATCATCGATCATTTTTCAATATTCTGGGTGTTATTTAGTTAGTTAGTAACAAGATTATTATTTCTATGATGAGTTTTCCTTCTTATTCTTTGCATTGCTATGTAGGAATATATTCCACAGTCTCATGCCACTCGAAGAGTACCCATACTTCACAGTGAAACACACACTGAAATGTACCTATAATATTTATGTTAAAGAAGTCTTTGCTGGTCTGGGATTAAAAATAGAAGTATATTTTTCAATCTGTTTTAAGACTTATCAGCAATCTCATTATAAATGGAGTTGACCCAAATCTCTATATTGAGTGATTTATCGCAATGTAGGCTAAGTATGGATGACGAGTCATGTAGATCTATTGATAAAAATTATGAACTAGGGTTTGAAAAATCTTTATAAAATTAAATCAGTCATAAAAATTTAATTTTAACTTTAAAATAAATTGCATATAAAATATAAAAGGTAACAATAGAACAATTTGCTTAGAAACTTTTTTATTGTATAAAATTGAAAAGATTCTTTATTTGTTTGAACGCGCTAATCTCAGAAACTACTGGTTTCGGATTCAATTTTTTTTTGGTTAGAACATTTATTAAGGAAGGTTGTAATTATTGTGGAACGAAGAAAAATGTGGAAAAACCAGGGAAAATTATTCATCTTTGTGAGTTTCCTCTTATACAATATTAATTAATATTAAAAAAATGTGCGGGACACTATATTTTAAGGTTAACTTGCAAGAACGACGTTGTGGGTAACAGCTTAAATGTATAAAATTGAAGAATTTAGCAAAACACAAATTTGAATATCCAAAATCACGTCCCGTTATTCTTGCGAGTTCATCTTAAGAGATAGACATATACTCTCCCAAACATTTTTTTTGATCATTGAATAATTTGCCGCGTGTTTTTCGACATTTCCCGCTGTGTCTTCGCTTCTATTAGTCACAGCACAATATTTTATAGCCTTCTTCGATAAATGCTCTAATCAACACAAAAATAATTATTCAATTTGAACTCGTAGTTCCCGAGATTAACGTGTTCAAACAAACAAACTCTTTATGTATATAAGTTTAGATTTATAAAATAATTAATTTTATTTATATTTGCAGGGTGGTCTCTATGGGCTACTGGTCTTTGGTACTCACAATCATACTCTACTTCTCCGAGGCGTTCTACTTTCACTCGACCACTCTAAACTTTTATGTTGTATTTCCCTGCGTGCTAAATAGTAAGTGTTTCATGAAGAACCTTATTAACTGCATTTTAGAACTAATTTTCCGTTATAAGTTACTTGTATTAAGCATGATAGTTAAAGACAGTATACACTGCGGTGTTTTCATAGCTTATGACGTACACTAAACCTATAAAAGTGATGCAATAGTGTAAAAAGACTACCCATTGCTTAGGGGCGGTATCTAGCACTTTTCTGAGCACGAGAAATAATGGGGAAACAAAATGTTCGGTCAGTTATGTATTACACATGTCTCAGTCCCTGTCAACCTGACAGGTCAAAAATATTACTCACCCGAGCCCATAAATATAGCGTATATATCATAGATTTTTTTTACGATACAGGAGAACATGTATAGGGTTCACTTAATGATAAATAAAATACGCCAGCCACATAAAGTAGACGCGTCGTCGACCTATTTTGGTTCCGGATATTCGTAAATCCACAGACCGAATCAGAATCCCGATTGAACTACAAGGTATTTAATATGAGGACGGTAGTTCGTGATTCAGGACGGAATTTAGATGTTCCTTTATTTTAGTGATAGGGGAGGACAGACAAGCATACCCCAAGCATACAAGTGTACCCCAGCCATATAACTTCTGAACGAGATGAGCTGACGACGTATTTTGAGTAGATTTTAGGAAATCCCCGGACTGAAACAGAAACGCGATTGACTTCACGACTTTTTCAGATGTGGACGGTGATTCGTGACCCGGAAGAAATTCCGATGTTCCTAACACCCATTTATTATCCAGACTTCCTGACGACCAACCGACATCCCGTTCATTATTAGCCATACATTGCTACCATTAGACCAAAAAGCCCGATAAGTTATTCTTTCTCGCCTTTTACAGTAATCACACTCCTCGGCTTGATCTACCTACCAACGAAACTCAAACTGTGGGGTACTGTGCCGGGTACATCCGGCATGGAGAGAGAGATCGACGACGAAAACGTCCAGATCCTGCGGCAAATGGGCAATTTTAGGCGACGCAAAGCGGGTAACCCTATCAAGAACAAACATGTGTGATGGGCAGGTACCACATATTGGATCAACCGTGAATATTATTTCATTTTATTGGCCTCAAAGCGCCACTAAATGTGGTTGAAAAATTATTTCTAGTCAAAACGATGTTTTGTTAAGTTTAACAAGTACATGATACTTGTTTACAAAGCCTTATACAGCGGTAGCTATTGCTCCTATATGTTTAACCATGTGGTTTTGGATTTAAGTGATTTAATTTGGTCAAGTCAAGAATCTGGTAAAATCAAGTTGGAAGGCACATTATTATAGTCTCTGTGTTGATCAGTGTGAAATTTTGTTTTCATAGCTTGTGTATTGAGCCTTCATAAGTGACAATTTTTATCAATATGTAACTTGTTTATCCTCTAGTAACGATCTTTTGTTTCATGGACTTTCAAAAAGCCTTGTTCCCTAGACTTTTGAGTGATAAAAACCTATCATTTAAACTACAGTAAAAGCTCTTTATTCGCGGGGTATATGTTCCATAAATATGCCGCGAATACAGAAACCGTGAGTACGGAATGGCAATTTATATGGGATCATAGGGGATACGTTCCTAGGTGACAAAATAAAAAAAAACAAATATATAAAAAAAATATTTCATTGAAGTTTTTGAATATTTTAATAAATTATCTTAAGGCTTAGGCAATGGTTTGAAGAATTTTGTAATTTTTTCTTGCTTGGCAGTTTTCAAAAGCTCCTTCAATTCAGACTGGTACAGAGCAGTCGCATTAGCAATTTGCCTCTTAAAAATAAGACTTCGTTCCATAGACGAATCAATGTTCATAAAAAAAAAGCAAAGCTCATTTGCCATTCTTAAACCTTCACTAAGATTTTTCAAATTAAATGTCACGTCAGTGTCAATTTAACATTTCCTCCAAGTCGGTTTCAGTCAAATCTTCATCTTGCGATTCAAGCAATTCCTGAATGTCCCTTGATTCTATCTGTTCGAACCCATATCGTCCTATTCCATTCGCGATTTCGGCTATGTTTATTGAGCTATAAGGTTGCTTATGTATTTATTGAGCTATAAGGTTGCTTTTATTCTGTTTGTTTACTTTCTTAAAAACACTCATCGCGGCGAAGGCGGCTTTTGTCAAAAGCCTCGGCGTCCGGCGATATCATTTAACAACATACTTTAGGCAAAGTTGTAATAAGATCTATTTTACTTTTTTATTAGTCCATTTAACAAGGATATTGGGTTGAATATCTATTGGAATAATTTTATTATTTTGTATGTACAGTTTATTAGATCCGCGAATAAAGAAATTTTTATTCGCGAATATAGGAATTGGGTCGCATTTTTTTTTCCCGCGGATAGTGAAAACGCGAATAAAGGAAGCGCGAATATGGAGCTTTTACTGTATTATATATGACATTTCTTTTAAGTAACAGGTGTACAGCGTAAATGTCAATGTAAAATATTTACCCTTATCGATCAAGCGATAGATATTAATGAGATAAAAATCAATATTTTGTTTTTTCAAATTTCTAGGTAGAAGTTCAGACATGCTGTGTAGGCAAACATGTTTTATTTTTAAATTTCGCGTTTTCTTTTTTCAATGATCAGATAAGGCATAGGTATTGTTGTATTGAGTTGTTGATGTTGATTCTAGGGCAATTCATCAGGTTCTTATATCTTTGTCTGTTTACAAGCATACCAACACTGGTAGTGTCACCAATTTTCTGTGCTGTTTACAGAATAAGAACTCTATCCTTCATATTAAAAATTATATTACAATTAAAGTGCCTATACCACAAAAAGGTATGCTTTCCTAATAGCTTGGTATTAAATGTCACTGATATGACAACACTAGGTATCATATCAGGGACCTCCTCTAGATTAAAAGCCTTTGTCATTCTACCTTCTCCTTTTACATAGATCATTCTCTTACATATTTTGGATATGGATGTAGTTCTAAGGTGCATTGATTGTAAACTGCCTTATAAACTAATTAAGTAGAAAATAAGTATGGTTCGTCTTAGTTCCAATTTGACATACCACGTGTAAGACAAGGACAAAATATAATTTAATATACGCATCTCGCCGTAGTTATTCGAAATCTTTGACATTGTTTATTTTAAAACACGCACTTCTAGAAAATAGAAGATCTTTAGTGTGACACTTAGTAAATCTTTTGCCAGTTATATTGGTCACCAGTAAAATTAAATTAATATTAAAAGACTATAACTGCTTTACAATGAGGTGTCTCGTGCACGATTCATACGAGCCTAACTCTCTCCTTTTCGGTTTCTTAACCTTTCGAATATGGAGAGAAACTAAGTAACTAATTACGATTATAGACTGAAATGGAATAAAGCAAAATGTTTTGATGAGCGCGCAGGTGTGTCTCACGCACCATTCCGGTGGCGAGACGCGGATGGCAGGGATAGATAAAAAAATTGTTAATGTGTATTTACCCAGCGTTATCCAACAGTTGTCGGTTTACCCTATAATAAGAAGCCTTCTCTTTCTTCTCTTCTATAAATCAATATATCCTACAATAAAACTGATCATTCACCGCCAACTCTAAGCTAGCTCGTCGTAGTTAAAAATAGTTCACAGTATTTCTAAGTATGTCGTAGGTACGTAATAACAACACAGCTATGCGGGAAAAGCTTAGTTCAGTAGGCGATGAAAATCAGCTTAAGCCAGAAAATAGCTTAGTTTAATTATAATGTAAAAATGATTAAATAACCGAAGTAAGTATTAAAAGGACCACCTCAAATCGTGCCATATCAATTTAGAGTTTGTTAAATTTGAAATAAAAAAAAAACAGTTTTATTAAAATTTTGTTTTATTGTCTCTACATAAGTACTTAAAATTAACAAAGAGTTTTCTTGTTAAAATACTTCATGTTGATATCCTAGTAGAAAAGTGTCGTCGCATACTGACCCCGACACCTGTGTGTGAATTTCCGTTTCCGCTTCGTAAGGCGCGGGGCGAACAGATTTCTGTGTCCGTTTCACTGATCCGTTCTTTTTAACAGGCAAGTAGTTGATCAGATTTCTGCGCCCTGCCCGACCGGAACAACATTTTATTTGTTCCCCTGGGATTTCCCATGTTAGTATAGATAAAAGTCCTGATCCAGAGTGTTTTTAATGTTGAATATTATGTATTTGCAAAAAATGGACAAAATGTGGACCACATGGTACACAATTCGCACACATAGAAATCAACCATATCTTCTATGCCAGCAGTCTTCATGAGCCCACCGCTTACATGATGCACATTGGATCCATTTCTATTTATTAACGACGTCTTCAGGAAAAAAAACCCATTAAAAAATAAAATATACTTTATTCTCTTTAAAATTTTAAAAATGTTAAAAGGATCAACATAAACGAGAAGAACACGGAAGAAACTCAGTCAAGCTTTTTTTATGCGGTACCTTTAACCAATTAAAGAAGGTACCGCATTAAGATTCTTGTCAATCTTTTGAAGTTGAAGGGCCTGGATCACAATCAGCTGGATCAGAACGAACCTGTGGGGGACGTCGTATGTCTTTAACTGGGACTTTAGTGTTCCTATGACTTGTTTCTATTTCAACTACGTTTCTAGAGATACTACTTTTAACTTTACCTTTTTTATATCTGGGTTTATCTTTACTTCTGTGTGTGTTTACACCTTTAAAGAATACCGTTTCGTCTTTTGTGAGGTCTATTTCTGTTTCTCCGGCACTCTTTTGATGTAAAACTTGTTTTCTGGTGCTAATTTTGTCTGCTAAGTATTTATAAAGATATTTAGTTCTTTTATTGTGATCTCTGACAAATTCTCTATCAAATTCTAAGTTAAACTGGGGGTTACTCTCAGTATGTTCGAAAACTACTTCGAATGGCGTGAGGTTTGTTACTGAATAAATAGTTAGATTGTAAGCCATAATGGCATAAGTCATTACAATTTCAGGAGTTGATCTGTCGGGAATTTCAAATGCTTGTCCTAATTTACTAAATACGTCTGTAATTGTTAAGTAATACTTATTTTCGATTGAGAATAAATCTATGAATAATTCTTGAAAGGGTTTGGATTGTATTTGCGTTAATAGCATTTTTGGTTTAAATGGTCTTCGGTCGTATTTCATTTTTTTACAGATTTCACATGAATTTATTACACTTGTAACTGTTTCATCCCTTTTGGGCCAATAATAAGTACGTTTTAAATGAGAGATTGTTTCTTTTATTCCTCTATGACATGTTTTTCCTATATGGTATTTCTGAATTATTTATATTTGCTCTTTTTCATTCGTGATATTAATGACTCTATTCGTGCATTCTATTATTTGTACAGTATCTATTCTAAATAGATTAATGAAAGTTTTGAAATGATTCTCTATGAGCTTTGTCTTCGTAAAATATAAAATATTTAACTTTTGGTCTAATATATTGTTTTAAAAAGCTTTTAATTAAATCGGGATTATTAAGTGGTATGTGCACTTCTAAGATTTCTTGTTTTGCGTGAGATTTTATTTTAACTTTTAACTCATTTTTATACCATGTATTAATTAATTTTTGATTAGGCTTAGTATCTATGGCTTCACGAAGAATAGGAATACCGTTTGTATCCATATCATCAGCAGAATGGATTGTATCAGTTTTAGAATCTATAGAAAGGGTAGAAATGCTATCATCAGGACAATATATTGTATCAGTTCTAGACCGAAGGGCATGCGTAAAAATTTGTAATGGCCGAATTGCGTAGAGAATGCTATTTTGGGTTGATCTTTTTTTTATTATTTATTTTGTACACCAACACTAATATACAATACAATTTAAAAACATTTTTTTTTAAACCGTTATAACGGTTTTTTATCTGCTACTCGGGTCATATAGCCTCCAATATTAACTTATTTTAACTAAAATTAACTTAAAAATGAATAATACAAAAAAGGCAAAGGCCTTGCTTTTTCCCGAATCTTTTACTAGTTTACTGTACGTGTGTTCATCTAACTCGTTCAGAAGCAAGGGCAATAGATAAGTTCGTGTGCGCTTTCCGTAAGCATTGTTAA